TAGAAACAAAACCTTTTTATTGCAACTTCAATCTTTTTAATTGTTAAACATACTCTATCTCAAACTCATACTTTACTTGTCAATAATTTTATGCTATCTTGTTGTATTTAAACAAAATAGACAACTTTGCTATTCCACTATCTGTTTATGTGCAATAACTTGGCTAAACAATCAACAATCAACAATCGACATTCAATGTCTAGCTAGACAATCAACATTCAGCTCAACATTCGATCTATAATAATAATCAAACAATTCCCAAAGTGAATGTTTAGCTAGACAATCAACAATCAGCTAGACATTCGAAAATTTCTTATGTCGAGCTAGACAATCAACATTCAGCTCAACATTCGACCTGTAATAATTATCAAAGTATCCTCAAAGTGAATGTTGAGCTAGACAATCAACAATCAGCTAGACATTCGATAATTTCTTATGTCGAGCTAGACAATCGACATTCAGCTCAACATTCGATCTATAATAAAAATCAAAGAATTTTCAAAGTGAATGTTGAGCTAGACAATCGACAATCAGCTAGACATTCAGAAATTTCTTATGTCGAGCTAGACAATCGACATTCAGCTCAACATTCGATCAATAATAATGATCGAGGTTTTCTTAAAGTGAATGTTGAGCTAGACAATCAACAATCAGCTAGACATTCGATAATTTCTTATGTCGAGCTAGACAATCGACATTCAGCTCAACATTCGATCAATAATAATGATCGAGGTTTTCTTAAAGTGAATGTTGAGCTAGACAATCAACAATCAGCTAGACATTCGATAATTTCTTATGTCGAGCTAGACAATCGACATTCAGCTCAACATTCGACTTGTAATAAATATCAAAGTATTCTTAAAATCAATGTTTAGCTAGACAATCAACAATCAGCTAGACATTTGAAAATTTCTTATGTCGAGCTAGACAATCAACATTCAGCTCAACATTCGACCTGTAATAATTATCAAAGTATCCTTAAAGTGAATGTTGAGCTAGACAATCAACAATCAGCTAGACATTCGATAATTTCTTATGCCGAGCTAGACAATCGACATTCAGCTCAACATTCGATCTATAATAAAAATCAAAGAATTTTCAAAGGGAATGTTGAGCTAGACAATCGACAATCAGCTAGACATTCAGAAATTTCTTATGTCGAGCTAGACAATCGACATTCAGCTCAACATTCGATCTATAATAATGATCGAGGTTTTCTTAAAGTGAATGTTGAGCTAGACAATCAACAATCAGCTAGACATTCGATAATTTCTTATGTCGAGCTAGACAATCAACATTCAGCTCAACATTCGATCTATAATAATAATCAAACAATTCTCAAAGTGAATGTTGAGCTAGACAATCAACAATCAGCGAGACATTCCAAATTTCTTATGTCGAGCTAGACAATCAACATTCAGCTCAACATTCGACCTATAATAGTTATCAAAGTATCGTTAAAGTGAATGTTGAGCTAGACAATCAACAATCAGCTAGACATTCGATAATTTCTTATGTCGAGCTAGACAATCGACATTCAGCTCAACATTCGATCTATAATAAAAATCAAAGAATTTTCAAAGTGAATGTTGAGCTAGACAATCGACAATCAGCTAGACATTCAGAAATTTCTTATGTCGAGCTAGACAATCAACATTCAGCTCAACATTCGACCTGTAATAATTATCAAAGTATCCTTAAAGTGAATGTTGAGCTAGACAATCAACAATCAGCTAGACATTCGATAATTTCTTATGTCGAGCTAGACAATCGACATTCAGCTCAACATTCGATCTATAATAATAATCAAACAATTCTCAAAGTGAATGTTGAGCTAGACAATCAACAATCAGCTAGACATTCGAAAATTTCTTATGTCGAGCTAGACAATCAACATTCAGCTCAACATTCGACCTGTAATAATTATCAAAGTATCCTTAAAGTGAATGTTGAGCTAGACAATCAACAATCAGCTAGACATTCGATAATTTCTTATGTCGAGCTAGACAATCGACATTCAGCTCAACATTCGATCTATAATAAAAATCAAAGAATTTTCAAAGTGAATGTTGAGCTAGACAATCGACAATCAGCTAGACATTCAGAAATTTCTTATGTCGAGCTAGACAATCAACATTCAGCTCAACATTCGACCTGTAATAATTATCAAAGTATCCTTAAAGTGAATGTTGAGCTAGACAATCAACAATCAGCTAGACATTCGATAATTTCTTATGTCGAGCTAGACAATCGACATTCAGCTCAACATTCGACTTGTAATAATAATCAAAGTATTCTTAAAATGAATGTTTAGCTAGACAATCAACAATCAGCTAGACATTTGAAAATTTCTTATGTCGAGCTAGACAATCAACATTCAGCTCAACATTCGACCTGTAATAATTATCAAAGTATCCTTAAAGTGAATGTTGAGCTAGACAATCAACAATCAGCTAGACATTCGATAATTTCTTATGCCGAGCTAGACAATCGACATTCAGCTCAACATTCGATCTATAATAAAAATAGGGAATGTTGAGCTAGACAATCGACAATCAGCTAGACATTCAGAAATTTCTTATGTCGAGCTAGACAATCGACATTCAGCTCAACATTCGATCAATAATAATGATCGAGGTTTTCTTAAAGTGAATGTTGAGCTAGACAATCAACAATCAGCTAGACATTCGATAATTTCTTATGTCGAGCTAGACAATCAACATTCAGCTCAACATTCGATCTATAATAATAATCAAACAATTCTCAAAGTGAATGTTGAGCTAGACAATCAACAATCAGCTAGACATTCGAAAATTTCTTATGTCGAGCTAGACAATCAACATTCAGCTCAACATTCGACCTGTAATAATTATCAAAGTATCCTTAAAGTGAATGTTGAGCTAGACAATCAACAATCAGCTAGACATTCGATAATTTCTTATGTCGAGCTAGACAATCGACATTCAGCTCAACATTCGATCTATAATAAAAATCAAAGAATTTTCAAAGTGAATGTTGAGCTAGACAATCGACAATCAGCTAGACATTCAGAAATTTCTTATGTCGAGCTAGACAATCAACATTCAGCTCAACATTCGACCTGTAATAATTATCAAAGTATCCTTAAAGTGAATGTTGAGCTAGACAATCAACAATCAGCTAGACATTCGATAATTTCTTATGTCGAGCTAGACAATCGACATTCAGCTCAACATTCGACTTGTAATAATAATCAAAGTATTCTTAAAATGAATGTTTAGCTAGACAATCAACAATCAGCTATACATTTGAAAATTTCTTATGTCGAGCTAGACAATAAAAATTTTTCGAATGTCTAGCTGATTGTTGATTGTCTAGCTCAACATTCACTTTGAGGATACTTTGATAATTATTACAGGTCGAATGTTGAGCTGAATGTTGATTGTCTAGCTCGACATAAGAAATTTCTGAATGTCTAGCTGATTGTCGATTGTCTAGCTCAACATTCACTTTGAAAATTCTTTGATTTTTATTATAGATCGAATGTTGAGCTGAATGTCGATTGTCTAGCTCGACATAAGAAATTATCGAATGTCTAGCTGATTGTTGATTGTCTAGCTCAACATTCACTTTGAAAATTCTTTGATTTTTATTATAGATCGAATGTTGAGCTGAATGTCGATTGTCTAGCTCGGCATAAGAAATTATCGAATGTCTAGCTGATTGTTGATTGTCTAGCTCAACATTCACTTTAAGGATACTTTGATAATTATTACAGGTCGAATGTTGAGCTGAATGTTGATTGTCTAGCTCGACATAAGAAATTTTCAAATGTCTAGCTGATTGTTGATTGTCTAGCTAAACATTCATTTTAAGAATACTTTGATAATTATTACAAATCGAATGTTGAGCTGAATGTCGATTATCTAGCTCGACATAAGAAATTATCGAATGTCTAGCTGATTGTTAATTGTCTAGCTCAACATTCAATTTAAGAAAACCTCGATCATTATTATTGATCGAATGTTGAGCTGATTGTTGATTGTCTAGCTCAACATTCACTTTGAGGATACTTTGATAATTATAACAGGTCGAATGTTGAGCTGAATGTTGATTGTCTAGCTCGATATAAGAAATTTTCGAATGTCTAGCTGATTGTCGATTGTCTAGCTCAACATTCACTTTGAAAATTCTTTGATTTTTATTATAGATCGAATGTTGAGCTGAATGTCGATTGTCTAGCTCGACATAAGAAATTATCGAATGTCTAGCTGATTGTTGATTGTCTAGCTCAACATTCACTTTAAGAAAACCTCGATCATTATTATTGATCGAATGTTGAGCTGAATGTCGATTGTCTAGCTCGACATAAGTAATTATCGAATGTCTAGCTGATTGTTGATTGTCTAGCTCAACATTCACTTTGAGGATACTTTGATAATTATTACAGGTCGAATGTTGAGCTGAATGTTGATTGTCTAGCTCGACAGAAGAAATTTTCGAATGTCTAGCTGATTGTTGATTGTCTAGCTCAACATTCACTTTGAGAATTGTTTGATTATTATTATAGATCGAATGTTGAGCTGAATGTTGATTGTCTAGCTAGACATTGAATGTCGATTGTTGATTGTTGATTGTTTAGCCAAGTTATTGCACATTCTGTTTATCTATGTGCGTATAGTATGATTTATTTGATTTCCTTTAATTGTATATATGAATATAAGGAAAACCATGTGTGAAACGTTTATCACATAAATTAATAATTATAATGAAATTGCCGAGGCTCAGTTGTCGCCATTACCCGTTTGTATTACTATACAAAGTCACGTGATTCGATAACACTTATATGCATAAACATATAGGAACGTATGAATCGCTGCGGTGAATATATTTCCCCTGAATGAATTTTTCTTTTTTTGTTTAACGTCTCGTATTTGTATAAAAGTACTCTAAGAACAAAGAAAATAATTAAAGAACGAATTTAATTTTATTAATTGAATTTAATGTTATAAATAATCAGCAGAAAAATGTTGTGCTAACACGAATGAGACAGCTTCATAATAGACATGCATCGTCTCTGTAAGTCATTCAAAATATCAGAGATACGTACATGATGTATACTCAATGCGTGTCTGACCACCATTTTGTAAAAATGATATAATTTGTTTATCTCATTGTATACAACTGGTCATATCTACTACATAATCTATAAATGATATATCAGACCACCTGGGATAAGACTTTATGGTATGCATCAAGTTCATAACCTATGAATAGTATGTATACATGTATATCAACGTGTATAACCTGCGACAGATAGCTTGTCCAGTTAATGACATGTAAATGTTTTATATAAAAAATAATAACTTCAGAAAAGTTTAAATCCGTAAAAATAACAGCGTATGGTTAAGATAATTACATATTACACTTTTCAGTTAGAACAAGCTATGAAAATCAATATAGAAATCTAATTTAGGTAATTGCTTTAGATATGGGTTACTTTGTCCGAATCCTCGTAAACCGGTGATCGAAACGTAGAACCTTGAATTGCTGGTCTCTTATTGCCCCTTCGTGCAGTATACGTGCTAACCATTTGTGCTTCATTCCGTTTCTCTATCTTTTGTTTTCTTCCAAGACTCTGTGATTTAAAAGAATGATCAGAACCTTGGGCTACTCCTTTTGCCAGAAGAGGACCATTCTTGTGTAGAAGTAATGCTGGCCAAACAACAAATTCAGTATAGCGTCCCCGTCTTGTGTAGTCCTTAAATGTGGTTGTATCAAATCTGTCTGGGGCTTCCTCCAAAAGTTCTAAAGGCGGGTCTAGTACAACCATTAGCCATCCAATCTCAATACACATTGAAAGATATGAGTTAATGTCCGCAGACCGGTACTCATGGAGACGAAGTCTCGGCAAAATCATCTAATAATGATAAAAGATATGGTGCATCTCTTGCAATCAATTGAATGAATAGGTATTTTAAAAGCATTTTTGATCATCTCCATGTCGACTAAAGTATAAATGAAGGAAAAATACTTTTTTATTCAAAAGCAGTAAATCAACTGTGTAAGTGTAATTTTAAATAAGATAACAAAATCAGTAAAAAAAATCCATATTCATAAAGTTCTTTTATAATGGCGTTATAAAACAAGGTAATTTTCTGTAATTAAAGTTAAAAATATTATACAAAGGGTTTAAGAAAGAAAACAGAAACTGCATTCAAAATAACTAGTATTTCATTTGTAGATTAAATTAAAAGAACTTTAAAATAAGTAGACTTATAAACCGTTTGTCCTATATTATCATTATTATGAATAAATTAAGCAAATATTTGTCCGTTGTAATGAATAATAATTCAATACAAACAATAAATAACCTTACACTATCAGATCAATGGAAATAAATCTTAAAAGTGTTCTAAAGTTGTAAGATAACTTACCGCTTTAATTTCATCAACCACCTTCAATGCCTGTAACTTTCGAAATTCTTTTATTTCTTTCATTAACTGTTGCGACATCCCTAATTTCAAAGGCGATGGTTTGAAAACCTGAATATAGAGTATGATGAAAATGTCGTGTACCTGCTTATATGATCTTACGTTATAATTTTGATCGCTTATTGTTTCTGATACAAACTTTTGCAGTTTCAAATTAATGATGATCATCTCATAAACCATTATAATTATTGTTTCAATCTAATGTTGCATGTAAAAATAAAATATGATGTTCACATCAACACAATAAAACACTAACAAAACAATAACATTACAATAAATGCTGCATACCTTTCTTGGACATTCTATAGCACTTTGGACTGTTTCAAAGAAGTTATCGTTCGCAAGTTTGTAACACTCCTTGTATGCAGTCTGTAAAAGATTTGATATTTAAATTTGCTTAAATAATGATATTTGTCTCCTATAACGAGAAATGAAGATGCAACATTTAAAATATTGTGAATTTCTTAATCTGTACTTAGCAAAGCATCAATGCTAACTATCTAAAGAGAGGTCATTATCTAAAATTAGATAATATTGTTTTGTTTTTCTTTTTCACTAAGATTATTAATACTGTATTAATGATTCAAATTTGTAAGATGAAGACTGTTTTTATACTAAAATAATTGTACTTTTATTTGGGTGTATTTTTATTTTGTACTGTATGTTTATAATAATCAATAACCAGAAGGTTTAAAGTGCTTTCATTTATTGTTTTATAATTTACCATCAAGGATGCTAGAAGTGCACTGATTATCTCCAAATCTGATGTATATTTCTTCTCCAAAGCATCAAATGCATCTGTCCACTGATTGTCATATAACTCTGACATTTTCTCGGCTATCTTTGTAGGTCTGTCCGGGTCACTAAGATCAGTAATGTTTGGATTGTTATCTCGTAGTGTACTTGAAGCAACATGGCTCAATCTTCAAAGGTAAATATAAAAAATTAAATCAATTGATAAAAGAAAACATATATTTAATAATCATAATCTTTATTACAGTTCTGGACTGACACATATGACATCTTATTTCAGAGTAATTAATATACTATTAAAGAACATGATATTATATTGCAAAACCGATTGGTCGATGTGTTAACCATTGTCTATGATAAAGGAATGACTGGGCTGAGAACAGTAATCACAATATACCCGAAAGATTTGTTTCAATTTCGTTACTTGGAATTGCTAGTTCTTTTAATTAGAGAATAAGTGTGTATGTATGCAGAAAATGTACCTTTGCAGGGCTTCATCTTTTGCTTCTTTTTCGATCCTACACTGTTGACGTACGTCGTGATTTTCCTTCTTAAGAACTGCTATTTCTTGTTCTAAATTGACGACGACGTCTCTATGAGTACTCATCATTGTAGTCAGCCTTTATCATAGAAATTGCACCTTACTATAAATATATCTCTTCAAAATGAATTATCGACTTGATGCAATGATACGGTATTTTCTGCATTTTTTCTCTAATCAATGTAATTTAAGACATCATAGCTAAGTGATTCCTTTTTATGAATATTCCAAGATGAAGAGGAGAAAAACTAAACTTTTTGCCAGACATGCTGTTATTGTGATTTATGATTCTTATGGAACATGTTTTCTCTGTAACAATCCACGTTAAAAGGAGGGCAATCGATTATAAGCTTTTATTTGAAAGAAATCAGTAACAAACTGTATAGAAATACATAATAAATATTTACTGTTTGATACAGTCTTCCTTTGCAGAAGCTTCTTTTTTAAGATGTTCTTTGAGTGTGGCAATTTCTCGCTCATATTTGAGGTGGACCTCTCTGTTAGAATCATGACTTTGCTTGTTTCTTGAAGCAACATGGCTCAGTCTTCATTCGTAATTATAAAAAAAAAAAATGTAATGGATGAAACATATAATTTATATATTCTTTATAACAGTTCTGAACTGACACATATTCCGATGACATATTATTTCAGAGAAATACATATACTATATTATTTTGTAAACCGGTTGGTCAATGAGAAATAAAATGATGTATGTTATAGGAATGACTAAGCAAAGAACAGTGATCACAATATACCCGATAGATTTGTTTCAAACTCGTAACTTGGCATTGCTAGTTCTTTTAATTACTAAATATACATTAGAGAATAAGTGTGTATGTGTGCAGGAAATGAACCTTTGCAGGGCTTCATCCTTTCCGTCTTTTTCGATCCTACACTGTTGAAGTAAGTCGTGATTTTCCTTCTTAAGAACTGCCATTTCTTGTTCTAAATTGTCTACGACATCTTTATGAACATGCGTATTCATCATTGTAGTCAGCCTTTATCATAGAAAATGTAACTTTACTATAGACATATTTCTTTAAAACGAACAATAAACTTTACGAAATCATACAGAACTGTAATTTTACACAATGCAATGTAATAGCGAAGTGAATCCCATTTTATGAATTTTTTTAGATAAAAAAGAAAATACAACCTGTTCTTTTTGCCAGATATGCTGTTATTTTGACTTATGATACTCATAAACATGTTTCTGTGTTATAATTCACGTAATTTAAAGTGAAATAGTTTACAAGATTTTATGTGAAACAAATTAGTAACAAACTGTATAGAAATACATAATACATATTTACTGTTTGATACAGTCTTCCTTTGCTGTAGCTTCCTTTCTAAGATGTTCTTTGAGTGTGGCATTTTCTTGCTCATATTGCAGGTGGGTCTCTCTGTTAGAACCTTGACTTTGCTTGTTACTTGAAACAAAATGACTCAATCTTCATTCGTAATTATATAAAAATTATAAAATGCAATGGATGGAAACATTCCACTTATATACCCTTTATTACAGTTCTGAACTGACACATATTCCGATGACATATCATTTCAGAGTAATACATATACTATATTATTTTGTAAACCGATTGGTCAATGAGGAAAAAATGATGTATGTTATAGGAATGACTGGGCAATGAACAGTGATCACGATATACCCGATATATTTGTTTCAAACTCGTAACTTGGCATTGCTAGTTCTTTTAATTACTATAATAAGTGTGTATGTATGCAGGAAATGTACCTTTGCAGGGCTTCATCCTTTCCGTCTTTTTCATTCCCACACTGTTGACGTAGGTCGTGATTTTCCTTCTTAAGAACTGCCATTTCTTGTTCTAAATCATCTATGACATCTTTATGAACATGCGTATTCATCATTGTAGTCAGCCTTTATCATAGAAAGTGTGCCTTTGCTATAGACATATTTCTTTGAAATTAATCATTCACTTCATGAAATGATACGGTATTCAACTTTTCACTAAACAATATAATTTAAGACATCATAGCTAAGTGGATCCTATTTATGAATATTCCAAGATAAATAGGAAAAAAACTTAACTTCTTGCCAGACATGCCGTTATTGTGATTTATGAGTCTCATGGAACATGTTTTCTCTGTTACAATCCACGTAATAAATATGTCAAATCGATACAAGCTTTTATTTGAAACTAATTAGTTTACAGACTATATAAAATACATAAACATATGTTTACTGTTTGGTATAGTCTTCCTTTGCTTTAGTTTCCTGTCTAAGATGTTCTTTGAGTGTTGCAATTTGTCGCTCATATTGTAGATGGACCTCTCTGTTAGAACTATGACTTTGCTTAGTGCTATTAATATGTAAATACATATATGGTATCACAATGTCAAAAAATTGCAATGCAGTTTTTATCAACATAATTATATCAGATTTGGTACCATCAGGTATGGTATTTACTACAACCATAAACGAACGTAGTTTAATGTGATAATCAAAATTAATGTAGTACCGGTTTGTGTGCTGTACATATATATTTCCGAACATCAATATTTCAGAGTTGAGTCATTAAAATATAAAGCAATCGACTATCCACAATACTGTAAACACATTTCTTAGACATTTTTATGATACTCAATGTGATAGAACAATAGGCTTAGATAAAATATTAAAATAGCTGTATCGATTCCTACAAAGTATTAACAATAATAGTTGCAACAAAAATAATGATATCAAAGATGGAATACATAAAACCGTTTAAAACATTCAAACCAATGGCAATATTTTTTCGGTAGCGTACATGAGTACATGACTGATTTTAGCTGCTTTATAGAGAACAACGCATTTCGATTTATATCAAACTTGGTCAAAATAAGAAAAAGGAATTTCATATCATATCCTAATTTTAATGTTGACATTAAAATGTATACAAAAGACATTTAGTGATCATTTTAAATATTTCATTTGAACGATAATTGACTCTACCTTTCTAGTTTCAGCTTCAGAGAGTTTATCTCACGGTCTTTCAATTCACATTGTGAGCAATGTAGTGATCTTTGCTTTTCAATAACTGATGTAGTCCTTTCTATTTTTCGCTTTTTCTTGTTTCGTATCTGAAAAAAAATAGATATTTCGTTTGATCACTTTCTATACTTGCTTCGCCTTAATGCATCTGCCTCTAGGGCGAGTCTTACTTTATCCTGCCGTCAAATTTTGAAAATCTCTAAACAGATAACTAGTAAATGTTTCTTAAAACGTTATGCTTCCAGGCAATATGGATTATCACAGGGGAATTTGTTATGATATATGTTAAACTGGTGGCACCGGGATGGTGTCATTATAAGTGCCCGTGATCAAGTAAGTGATGCCTTATATCAAGTATGAGTTTCAAGAGAAAAAGAAATCACTTTCTCCACTAGGTTCAAATCCCGACCGCGTTTGGATACTTTCATGTGAGGAAGGTTAGTGAAGAGGAATGACAGGGGCAGTATATCTCACAGAAATATTTTGACAAGAAAGAAATACAACATTTGCCTTTCTAAATTATGTAAATATCTATTTAACAAAACGCTAAGTTCATTCCATTGCCGTGACATTGACCATTAAGCTAGCGACATTGTTTTTCTTTGCCATCAAGTGAATTTGTTCATATTAAAAAATTTTGTATCATGCAACTGTTATGGCCCGGACACGAATTTTTACAGCATTCATACTTTATAACAATAAATAATAATATTTATATATATAATACTTTATAATGTTCATCATTGCTGTGACCTTTGAGTAAGGTATAAAACACATTGTCTAAATATGTTGGTGCATGTATATTATATCAACATGAAATCCAATCATACATGCAGATCTGTCAAGGACACGAACTCTGCAATTTAAACTATGAGACAAATACACTATTCCCTCCTATTGTCTACTTATTTTTCCCTTGTGTACAAGTGTACTTTGACGTCTTTATGCAAGACATATACTTGTCCAAACAAATACACTTACGTACACACGCAAGCACACAACTATTTTACAACAAATGCAATAAGCACGCCACAATACCAGTCTAAATTTAAACAAAACATACAAATTACCGGGATAAATTGTCCCGAAACACTATGAGCGCATGGCTATAATTACACAATTTGCAACGAAATAAATCAGATATGTAAAACTTTAAATAGTAACTCTCTTTCTTGACCTCGTCTTAACAATCTTACGTATTTTTGACACTATTTATAAAGTAACAATCTTTGATATTTTATTTCCTAAACCTTTATTCTCCTTAATAATTCTTATTTATATTATCAATATATCTATGCAAAAAACGTAACAAACAAATTATTTCAAACACACACTCAGAACTATTTAGATCTCTAATACTAGTCATACTTACATTATCTATGAAAGACATTTCAGTCTTAAGTGCTTCTAGATTATCTGTATATTTAGTTTTATATTTTTCAAGGTGTTTACTCTTAGACTTCCTCTGTTTCTCATGGACTTTCTCTTCGAATTTATGAACAGCTTTTGCAGCTTCATACATCGCTTTACAGTGGAGTTTTATTTCGTCTGAAGGATAGTCGAACCCAGAAAGTGTTTCTTGATCCGCGTCATGTCTAAATAAAATGAAAAAAAATGATCATTTCAATGTCTCAGAATTTTAGTTGTGTCTACTAAATCGTAGCAATTTACACTGTGCTGTGCAGAACTGAATGCAAAATATATTTTATGAAAATAATCCAGTCGTTACATATAACATTCAATTAAAAATAAAAAAATTTTGAATAGGCTTTGAATCCTTCACAAAGAACAGCCAGTTAAAATCTGATAAAAACAAAAACATTGCGTGTTTTATAGCTATAAAAGGACAAAAATATCGTTTAGCGTTGCTATTTAAGTCATTTTTGGATAACTTAATGGATTCGAATCTATGATAATTTTTAAAGCATTAAATTCATTTTTATTTCCTCAAATATTTGAATATTTGTTTTTTGTTTTAGAAGGTGACAGAATTTTCTCATTCAATGCAAATAACTATGGTGGCTGATTTGGAACACTTTTGTGTGTCGTGTTGTCGCTAGCGACAGCACGACAAAGCGCCAAACGTTGCGTTGTCGGACTTTCGTCTTGTCATCATGTCGCTTACTATGCATGCCAAACGGTGTGTTGTCGGGGCGGCGTGTTGTCGCGATGTCACATTGTATCTCGGCTCAAATCGAATGATTGACTATTTGTATATATATATATATACGTATATAAGCTGTGCGACGGGGTGACATCGCACCGCACGACAACGCGCCGTTTGGCGTGTTTCGCTAGCGACAGGACGAAAAGATGACAGTGCGACAACGCGCCGTGTGACGAAAAGGCGATAACGAAATAGGTTCTGTTCCGCTATCGACAACGCAACGCACAAAGTGTACCAAATCAGCCACCATAAATAACACTAGCTCAGATATGTTTCTGGCTTATCAAAGCACATCCTTTCTTTATAGTTCATGTTATAGGTGACCGCTTTCTTTCTTCACTTTAATATATCAATTGCAGAAATAATCACGAAAATCATTATCATGTCGAATGTAAATATAAGAATAAATTTGCAATTAAAACTTGTTTAAAAGAATCGAAATCGAAAGTGCTTCAAAAATATGGCAATACGTGAAAAGCTTTTTTGTTAAAGTCAAGTTGAACATACTTAACATACCTTTCAATAAATCCAGCTTGCTCGTTTTCTTCCCGTTCTCTTTTTCTCCTATCTGACATTTTTAATCATGCGTTTAATGATCTAAACCAGGAAGCTATATGTCTACAAGCACATGAAAACTATAATTATACATATAGAAATCAATACAGTATGCGACCTTATACAAAGTAAAATCATTAAAGGGTGTATTTTGCTGTACTGCAATTTGATAATATACTGTAGAATGTTTATACTATCTAGAGAATAAAGCAGTTTTCAAATGCACATTTAAAACGTTTAGAAGTAGCTTCATCATTTGTCATTGAAAAAAAACTAGAAATGTGTCCATAGGACATATATGATTCCACTGTTTTGTCTGTTTACTGACGTTCAGCAGGACAGTATGACAGACGAACAGACATAGGAAATTATACATGACTCCCTCTACCCTTAAGTGATTTGGACATAAAAATGACTTCTAATTTTTCCATTGTTAAAAGTAAAACTCCAGATGCAAAACTACACAACATTCTTGAACATGCTGAACAACATTCTTGTAAAGTTTCAAGACTCCAGATTAAATACGTTTTCAGCTACGCAAAATTGCAAATACTGATCAATATTCCCGTAAAGTTTGTTGACTATAGTTCAAGCACTTTTAGAGGTACACATGAACACATTTTGGGGCGGTTTTTACTAAATCAAGAGCAAATATTCTACAAATGCATATACGTCACGCGTGACACAAGTTGCAAATTGCTTTTTTTTCTAAGTCAGGGCAATATCTACAAATACTGAACAAATCCACAGGCAATCCCCAGCTGCAAACACATATTGACCAATATTTCTGTAAAGTTTCATTGACATCAGATCAAATTGATTTTGAGCTATACGGGGCAGAAATTGAAATTTCTGATGTCAGATATATACACTATAGGATACTCCAGTTTTGCAATAAAATGTTCTAGGTTAGGTGCGGGAATACAGGGTCGGTCAGGTTACTGGAACCGCAAGATCATTTTGTCTTTGCCTAATCTCGCGTGAATGAGTCTGGCGAGAATTGTCATTTTTTTTTTAAAACATGAACGAATATCAGTATATAATTAAGTGATGATAATTATTTGAAAAAAAAAATACGTGATGAAATAATTTAAAATGAAAAAGAAATGCTTTCATTTAGACACGTGACTAAAGTTCTCGCTAATAAAAAACAACATCCTATGAAAATGCGTTATTTACACCACGTGGTTTATAACAAATATTATAACGCACAACAAAAGGCGTTATATATAACGCGAAACAAAAAATTCTGTAAAGTAGACATTTCATATCTGACCTACGTTTCATGGCGTGCAGATTAAAAATCAGAACTTTAATCGATTAATCGATTACAAGTAGAAGAGAATCTTCTCGGTCTACCAAAGGATTTAGAAGTTGAAAATAAAAGTTAAGCATATTAACAATTATAAGAATCAGAAATGTTGTAAGGAAAATAGTATATTTAGGGCTATGATATATTTACACTAGTCTGAAAAAAACAATGAAAATGAACTGCACGTGCCTCCAGATGAGCAAAAACAACTAATTTATAATATCAACTTTGTAAAAAATGTACTCAGATTTTTTGGAAAGTAAAAATATTCACAAAACAAGTTATGATTTGCATGTTATTTGCGATGAATGACTGATTTTGCAGAATAAATCACCATATTTCTCATGTGTGACAAACACAGTAAGAGCTAATTTTGCATATTTAGACCTTTAATTTGTAATTTACGTTGATTGAAAATGTCGTTTGCAATTACTTTATGTGTTCACTTGACAATATTCAACTTTTTAATAATTTTCAAAATTTTCATGAAAATTAGCATAAATCTATAGGCATGCTGCTTTAAATTGAGTCGGTTAAACTTTGTTCGTTTTCAAGAGAAAGCACTAAATAAATTAAAGACAGATCTACATCACTCGAAAGCCATTTTTAAATATTTCCTTATTATTCAGTCACAAGTCATATTATATATTTTACATCTTATACACTTCATTTAATGTATTCAAGGGTTTTTGATTGATAGTCTGGAGTTCCTTCCCCTTACACTACTTAGGTAAAGCATAGTGTTCTTCCGGTATCAATAAATGGGAGGTAAAACTGAATCGATCTGACAGCTAGAAATTAATGTAGCGTTATCAAACGCACAACAAGTTTTAACCTTCCTGGTCGGAAAGTTGAGTTTTCTCTGTCCAAAATGTCTTTTAGGAAGAAGAAAAATAAAGGAGACGAGAGTGCGGCGGAAGAATTAAAAAAGTGAGTATTGATTAACTTAATTATTTGTTATTTATTTTTAACCGTGTTTTTACCGGAGTTACTTTCGGTTTTGGTAATCTCCTTATTCGTAGAAAAGTATGTTTGTTTTATAAACGATATAAAAATATAATCAACGCAGCAACGAACTAATGATGGTTTGCATTGCACATCCTTTTATAGTTGTTGGAACACACCTTAGTTCTATGTCTAATAAACATGTCTACGGAAAGTTGAAATCGAAAGTAGAAAAATAAACTACATGTTTGGTCGTAATAGATAACGCATGATCATTATTGAGTAAAATGAATGAAATCGGCATGTTGAACTGTAAAAAGCTGTATACCTGCTGCAAAAATTTAAAAATCAATGTTTGAATTTTAAAAAAAAAAGAATACTGGCAGAGTATTATTTTGTATTATTTTTTACGTAAAATATTAACTGTTAAATAACAGTTACAACTCTTTTGAGAATCGACTTTAAGCTTATGGAACCAAGATAATTTAACTGTTGATAAATTTTATAAAAATATTTCATAAGATTTAGCTTTATACCTTTTAAAGAGTAAATGTCCTACAGATATCTCATAAAGGAAGTTAATCAGTTCAGGAGCCTTTTTTTATCAATATCAGTGTCTCTTAAATCTTAATATTTCATTCCTGTTTAGAAATATCAAGTTTGTAAGTTTATTTTATCGATTATATCAGTTTATGAAACATGATATTACGTACAAATTTAAGTCAAGTATGCTAATGTTTATGTCAATTATAGCATATGATCACCGATGTGCAGAAATATATGTATATTTAAATCTATGATAAGTGATCCATGATACGAGTAACTAGAGCCTACCTGTTTACATTGGGCAGGTTAACATGTTTCAAATTGTTATAAATCTGACTTATAGACGTACATTAGCAGTCAATTCATTTAGGCCTATTATATACTTATAAATTATATTTTGAGAAATATTGATGAAATAAAACGTTCATTTTCATTTTCCGTATTTTCACTGTAAAAAATTATTTTTCACTGCAGTGAAACATATTTTCGGCATTTTCACCGGTATCTTGTCGGACTATTTTCTTCTTTATTCAGCTAATACACGAAAATAATCAAGAAGTCTTAAGAATTTTAAGGTCAAAAAAAAAGAGAAAAAGTATATAATAAAAAGAAAATTCAAGTTCGTTTCTATAATTACAGGATTTATTTTCATCTTGTGATATGAAAATTACCATATTTCATACCACTCGATGAAAACAAATACTGTATTTATAGAAACGAACTTGAATATTCTTTATATATTGAAAACTTATTCTCATAAAGACTTAGAGAATGTACTGAAATGAATTACATAGCGATCACAACATAAAACTGTACAAATAAATGTTTGTATTCCAACGGCATATACGTATATATGTATACTTAAATTAAAATACAAAGCATAATGAGTTATTTCTAAAGCATAAAAAGGCTGAAATACTGATAGATGTAATTCTATAACAGCCAATTTATATTTGCGAATATAATGTTATCCATGACGTCTTAATAATACGAAAATATTTTTTTTTTCAGGAAAGCCTTCGATGAAGTTTATGATTTAGATACTGACACATTAGTTGTTCAAACTAAACGTTCTTATGAAGCTGCAAAGATTCTTAAAGAAGAGCGAAAGAATATCCAGCGCAAGAGAGAGCAGGCGACAAGTAAGCATCTGTCTCGGTGCATGGACAAATATGACGAAAAAATGAAAGAACTCCATGAACTCCAGGATGCAGCTGAGTTAGTAAAGCAGGTACATTCCAAAAGTGATCTTTATAGTATAAGTAACTATGTTAGATTTCTAAAATTATCTTTTAGTTTTGTCGATGTTGTAAATAGTATTTATCAACGTTTCAATCATATGATGTTGTTATACATTCTTATATACAACTCTGAATTCTATTGGACTAGTACACAGATGTGAAAATTTTATTCGACTGATATAGGTTTTGCAGCTGTGTACGAGTCCAATATAATCAGTATAGTTCTCAACAATGTTAAATGACCTCTCTTTTTCAAACCTCCATTTTGTTGACAGTTTGGCAGATTTTTGTCACTTTAATTACAATTCAGAGTTGGATCTTGGACTTTCATAAAATGAAAACGAGAATAGGTAGGGTGCAATATGGATTGGAGATAAAAAATTTAAGTCTAACAAGGCTTTACGGTTCTGATACTCTAGAAATGATATAAAAACTAGGCTATAAGGGCTTTGATATGGATTTGATACGGACGTTTTGGACTCTTGGAAAAAAACGAGGCTAAATTAATAAGATTGGGATCCAATAGTAATTCCTTTTGGAACATCAAGTGGTGCAAATGTTGAAAGCGCATAGGTCATACTTCAATATTGGAGGAAATAAAAGTATTTATTTTATAGTGTAACGCTAACATTGAGCTCCTTTCCGCTGTATTTGTAGTGGCGTCAATGATAAAACGACTTTTTTACTGTAAACTATTCGTGTCGAAGGTTGAGAGTTGAATGTGTTGAAGTCGTTGAATAAAACAAAATTAAATTCAAGTTTATGATAAAACATATTAAGGATTTTACTAAATTCCTTGACTCTCGGTACTTTTGTGGTCAATGCGTACCGACAGAAAGCGATAAATATTAATTATATTAGTATCAGTTTGATGTACATCTTTATGTTTAGCAAATGTTTTATTTAAAGCATCTTGAGGAAAAACCGAGAAAAATACGAAAAACTACTTCATTACGAGAACCAAGGCATTCAAAACAACAGTCTGAAAGTTTTCCCGGCTTCCCTGGCATCGAACAAAAGCGAATTGAAAAACGGTAAAACAAATTTATGCTTTAATAAAGTGCATTATTGAAATCTTAAATTGGTTTGGTATTTGTTTGCCAAACATATTCAAGATAATTGGAATGATTATATTATAAGTAGCTTTGCTATTGCTGGAAAATTGAGTGTTCAGTTGATATGATTTATTCCTTGTATGGAATTAAAACATAGTTTACCTGTCTAGTTTGTTCAGTTTTTGATGGAACTTATTCCTTATATTCTTAAAGATGGTTGTATGGTGCACACGGTTAGAATTTATTTTTGAAGCGTAAAATGCTCGGGAAAATGTCACATGGAATTAGCAACAGTATATTTATACCGGATAAGGAACATGTTGTCTTTATACTACTTACACATTCACTGAAGTACCACCAACCAACTTATATAATGGAACATTAAACATTGGTTAAAATATCATTTTGATGAAACTCTACTAGAATGATCCTTAGATAGTTTTTTTGAAATTTGTTTAAATACTGTTTAAACACCACCTTCTTAACTAAATGGTCACTTTTGATGAGTATACATACATGGTCGTTGTATGGTCGCCAAATGGTTCCGGTCTGCTGATCATGATTACCACCAGCGCTAAAAATAAAATCTTTTAAATGACATTTCTAGATGTTCGTCTGGAACAGACATTACTGTCAATAAGGATCTAATTGTAGACACATTTGATGAATTTCTTTAAAAACAAATGTAAATGGAAGTCCTTCAAAATGATAATCAGTAACACAGAAATAGTTTTCGAATTTGTATAATATTATTTTATTTTTACGGCACATAGAGTTGAGGAAAGTCCCAGGGATGAAGTTTCTATAGAATACCCAGAGAGGCAATCTGCTGGTAGTAGAAACAGAGCAAGACATAGTGAACCTTATCAATCTGAGAGGACAGGAACAGATGATGACTTTGAAAGGTTTCTGATATATTATTATTCATCTAATGAACAATCCTAAATCAATTTTAAGAAAATAGTGGAACATTAATTTTATCTATGGACATTGATTATCTGAATATGCTTATGATCTTAACTGGATATTTAATATGTACTATTATACTTAGAATTGTTATCATAGTATTACAATTGTGGCTTACACATCTGCGAATGTTTCAAAATTCTAAATTTACCAGTTCATGTTAAATGTTGAATTCTGCTTAAGCCGGTGCTAGGGGGCATGAGCGGTAGTTTGCACTTGACAGTACCGTCCATGAACAGGCTCAATCAAACCGAGCCTGCAACATTTTCAATTTTGACGTGTTGGGCTTTCTTTAAGGATTCTTCTTTCTCTCTATTTTACTGCCGTGATCGGGAGTGATAAATCGACAACAACCAGTATTACAATTGTCCTAATATTTATCAAGTAAAAAGTAGAGAATGAAATGAGTGCCTATTAAGCACCCAAAATGTTTTAAAGATTTTTTTCTTTAAAGTTTTTTTTCTTTCTTATGTAATCAAAGTTTTTCGAAACGGTAATCATTGGCCTTGTAGCTAAACCATATGTTTTTATTTGCATTTTGATCATTAGTGGAGATATAGTTTTTAAGGTAGTTTTCTTATACAAAAGACAAAATGCCACATCGTGTACGTTAAGCAACTATAACGACAATTTGTTTCAGAGAAAGGAAAATCATCTACTAGATCTACTGCACGGTCCATTATGGAAAAATCATAAATGCCATTCCGACAGACTTAAATTATTATTAAACATAGACTTAATGTATCTTTGATACCCCCCCCCCTCCCCCTACCCCCCCCCCCCCCCCACAGACACCCATTATTTAGTGAAATCTTTTAATCTTTTACTGGTTTGTTTCGTTTCTGAATTTTCAGTTGCGATTTTAAGACTTTAATTATATAGATTACTTTAAAGATTTTGAGACAGAAACAAAACGCAAAGCCTAAAATGGCAGTCGGTCTTAAAATTTTAATGTTTTTGCGTTATATACTCTTTATTGGGTGGTACAATATGTTTTAATACCACTCTAAACAAGGATTTGTTTTTGGTCCTGATAATGTAATATTTCTTTTTACATCTAAACATATATCACGGAAATAAACAAAATAAATGAGTCAAGCAAACATGTAATATTTAAAAACAGTAAGTAAAGTTAAATCATTTAATGATAAATTGTTGTGAACATTATTAAACTTACTCGATGTTACCTCAAATGTCTCACTATGAACCTCGTATCACGCAATAAGAATGTAGAAATTACCGAAATGCTTTGATTTTTCTCCTGAATTGGGTTTTAGAATTAAAAATATCCATGTGTTTTCTTATTTAGGACTAAAAATATAAATAGATTATTTGACATTTAAGCTTTATTCTTGTATGTACAGTGATAAAATTTGGATGATATTTACAGATTCTAAAATGTACATTGCTATGTTAATACGGTAAATCATTTAAAAGTTGTTACATATCAACATTTCAATGCGATTTTCTCAAAGGGACAAACAATGACATACGGGTTTGCGACAGTGAGGCAACGATATGGCATCATTTTTTTCTTTCTTACTCAAATAGTTTAAATAAACTATAGCATCTTTATAACCATTTTCCTGGGGCTTGTTTAGCTTTATTGGCAGATTTGCTAGTAATTGTCTTATACTTTAGGTACGAACGCAAATCTAGTGCCAGCGCTCAAAGAAATGCACCGGAGGTGTTGGAACAGAAGGTGAAATCATTAGAAAAAGAAACGGAACGTCTTCAACACGAATTGCAAGCTGAAAAGACTGAAAAAGATAACGCTTTTAAAAGGTAAGTTTTAATATACTATATTGAACAGGGGTTTATTACTTTTTTTTACAAAAAATGCACAATTGCAACTAAATTTTCAATGTTGAAAAAATATTGTCAATGATTGCGTTAAAAAGTTTTATAAAATCTTCCTTTTTAAATGCTTCAAATACTTAAGACTTACCTTTCTCCAGTTCAAATCAAAGACAGAGTATTATGTATTTGTTATATTCATACATCATCACCACAAATGTGAGTTAACAAATATTGTTTCACATACTAGTGATTGTATTGTTTGTTAATGTTTGATAATTTCCTGATATGAGCAAATGCTGGTACAAAGTCTGGGAGAGATTCTTCGAGATCCTGTTATCATTAGAGATTATATATTAAGATATCTAATTTCATACCAAATTTCCATAATTAATTAAAATATATAAGCGTTACTGTATTATCAGCAGCAAACTTTAAGGTATTTGATCTATGATACCTATAGACGGCAATGAGATGAAAATTTGTTTAATTGCTTGACAACACCGAAAAGTAAGAACATTTTTGAAGGGGTAATCGCTTAAGATCAATGAATAAAAAACCAAGTTCTTGTAAAATTCTCTATTACAGAGGTACAATATATTGCAAAGCAATATATAGGTCAAACGCTTCACTTACAATTCAAATGATCCGTTAGAAAAGATATCTGCTTGTAGTTTAAAAAACTACAAAATGTTTTCTTGTTGTTCTATAGAAATTTCGTATGCATCTATCAAATGCATTTTATAGTTTGCATGCCTGTCGTTTAATGATCGAAACATTTTCAATACCTTTTTGTGCTTATATATTGCCGTTATAATAATACATACATCTAATTTGTGTTCCACTGATTTCAGATTAGAGGATGCAAATCGAGAGACACGCGCCATTAAAAAAGAGCTGAATGAAAAACATACTCTTGAAGAAGATGTCAGAAGGTCTCAAATTCATTTTTATTTTTTTTTTTAAAAGGATCCTTATTAAAAAAGATCCGTGTCTGTATTTAAGAATCCTTTTATAGACATATTGTCCATGGTGTAATTGTGCTGAAATAGCAGATAAATTACATAATCTTTAACCGCATGTACATTTTTGTTTGTTGAGAGGGCTTTATCCGAGGATCTTAAAGAAATAATGTTATAAAACCATAAATATTTCACTTTCTTGACAGAAATCTTTAACAAAGCTGTTCTATAGACGTACTTTTCACTAATGAAATGTTGTTTTCATGTATTGTATGGAAAGACTTCGACAAGAAAAAGACAAAATAAGTGACGAAAGAGATCATAAAAGATGTCAATACGAGACTGAAAAAGAAGCAAAAGATAATGCTTTGAAGAGGTAGATTGCTTTACCTGTTTCATTGATTAATGTAAACATGTAAATTAGTAATTTTCTAGCTTTTAGGTCGCCTTTCCATTTCTTTTTCTTTTTGGTAAAGTAGCATTGTCAATGTCTAGTTTGAAAAAGTTTTGATTTCGGAATGAAAATGTTGGCTTTGTATTCTGATACATTAAGTTATTTTTAACTTTCCTACGAAAATATTTTTCAACTGTAAATAACAGTTTTACAAGAGATTAATTAAATACATGTGAAGTGATCAAAATCAGTTATGTGAGTTTTCATGCTCGATGCCAAAGCTTATTTGATATTTTGATTATCCGTAATTCTATTTATTCTTAATAAATGAATCGGATGTCAAAAGATGATTGTTAATACTAGTATAATAAGTTGGGAACATAGTTGCAGAAATCAAATTAAGATAAAGACTGTATTTTGGAATAAGGTAGCGCAAGACCAAAGTTAAGAAAAATCCTCATACTTTTTCTACAGAATAAGATGAACGGTAAAACTCGAATATTTATTTTCTTGTTCAAAGATACAAATAAAATAAGGTTTTAGCTTCAGCGGGGAGTTAAAATAACAAGCGTTTTTTATTCAGTTTGGAAGATATTAAACAAGATAAACGTGCGCTTGAAGAAGAACTGGGAAGTTTTCAGAAGCAGACTTCAAGTGAAAAACATGCTCTGGAAGAAGACAACAAAAGGTTCTCAAATTACTTTAGAATTACAAGTACAGATTTTATAGAAAATATTGTAACAAATAATAACAAAACCGATTTTTAGAAAATAATTATTGAACTGAATTGAAAAAGAAGTTCATAAAATTCTAAGCTCAACTGTTACTTTAAGCTCACTGCATCTTGATATTTTGTGTATGTGTATTATATCTGAACGGACCAAAATGGAAATAAGGGCTTGCCCTTTTTTTTGTTATCAGTGGTGTTGGTGAGCATGTCATAGTTTTCTCGTATGTGATACAGTATTTAATAATGCTATTTATTTTATCCTATGTTGTTAATTATGCATATGCTTCCTATGCCGAAATAAATCTATCTATCTATATTGATAGGCTTTCACGAGAGAAGGTCCATATAAGTCACGAAAGAGACGATGAGAGAAAGCGGTATAAGACGGAAAAGGATGCAAAAGAAAATGCCCTGGCAAGGTCGGTTTGCTTTAGTGTAACAATATTTTAGATTAAGCAATTTTCAACGATCTTGCAATCAAAGATGCATATCCGCTCAAATTATATATACATTCAACAACTAGGAAAGTCAATGTTTTAAGTCACACAGGTTACATTTAAAAAGTTTGTTAAGTTAATATGTCAAAAAAGGATGTCATACAGAATTTAAACCATAGTTAACTTTTTAAACTTTGACTGTCAATAGTATAATGAACGCTGATAACATTTGTCTTTAACTTAAAACAGTTTGTCGTAAAATTGATGTACATTTTTCAAACTATGTTGATCAGGTTTTGACAAGACAAATGAATAAGTATATTAAGCAAGATCTATCCCCCAAACGTAAAGACACCAGCTGATAAACATAGGATACAATATACCTGCTTGAAATGTTACTTTCTTAATTGAATTCTTAAATTTTAATCGGTTCGGTATATTATTTTTGTTTTGGATAATTTGTTCAACTTTTCAAGGTTTTATAATACCAAATATATTTATTCTGTCTTTTTTGTGTCACTTTTTTGTGATTTCAGATTAGAAGCTATAAACCGAGACAAGTGCGCTGTTGAGGAAGAGCTTAAGAAAATTGAAAAACAGTCCTCTAATGAAAAGGCTGCGCTTGAAAAACAGATAAAAAGGTATGAAAGTTAAAGTGGTTCATAAAAGAATAATCGTGTTCGTTGAGGTAATAAGTAAGAATTTTTTTAATGAAAACCTGAATCTTGTAGTCATTGTGATAGATGAGTTTTTGTATATTAAACATGAAAACTGAATGGTATTTATAACAAAACGATATCAAAAACTGTTTAACTAAATTGAAAGAGATATTCATTTATTCTTCAGTAGCACAACAATGTTTTTCTTATCATTACAAATCGATATATTTTCATGCACTTTATTGATAGTCTTCGACAAGAAAATGATAAGATTACTCGCGAAAGAGACATTGATCGAAATCAATATAAGGCCGAAATGAAGACAAAAGAATACGACCTTAAGAGGTAGGTTGACCTGATATTTCCATCGCAGTGCCGTACTTCGTCTGACCTAAGTCAATTATTTTTACATTTTAGAAGTTCGTTATAGTGAATATTATAAAAACTAATCACATAAAGATTTTTTTCAACAAACTTAAGTTTGTATTTCGACTTCAGATATGTTCTGAACGCTGACAATATTTTGCTTCTCTTTAAAATTGATTGACAAATAATGATTTACTTTTGAAAACAAAGTTAAAAAGGTAAGAAGAATGAGAAATAATAAATATATCAAGCAACCAAACAAAATATTCATTGAGTAAAGAGGCTGCTGCTCCATACACACATAAAGCACTTTAAAACAAATATTGCAATATAGCAAGACAACAATATAAACGTAAAACCCCTAATCTAGAGATAGATAAGCATGAAAGCAAAACATCTTTATTTTATATGTTAGTTCGAATAATAGAGCTATAGAACATATTGTCCAATTACAGATTAGAAGATATGAAACGAGAGAAGTGCGCAGTTGAGGAAGAGTTAAAGAGTCTTATAAAACAGTCTTCAGATGACAAAACTGCCCTTGAAAAAAAGTATAAATAATAAACAGTATTTTGATATAAAAATTTGTTCGTTTTCTTGAAAGGAAAGAATTGGAAAATAAAAGTGATGTATAAAATACTTTATCCACGGATTTTTAAAACAAAATTCAATGGAATTATTTACATATAACAGATGATAATTTCCAAATAGAAGGTTAACTAAATTGAAAGAGTGGAAGAAATATTCATTAAAATCTTTCTAGTACTTAAATGACTATGCTCACTGTAAATTGATTCATTTTCATGTATTTTATTCATAGTCTTCGACAAGAAAACGACATGATAACTCACGAAAGAGACAATGATAGGCGCCAATATGAGGCTGAAATAAATGCAAAAGAAAATGCTATAGAAAGGTAGGTGTTATTGTAATATTTTATAGCCTTCATTGATGTTTTGCTCGTTCATTAAATAGGGAAGAAGCGCGACAAACCTGCCTAGAATTTGATATACAGCGTACAAAGAATTTTGCTGGAAGTTTTAATTTAAGAGTCAAATAAAGATGTTGTTTTTGGGGGTTTTTTTCATTTATTTATTTCGTATGTTGCTGCTGTTGTTGTTTTGTTTTCTTGTACAAGGCTATATGTAAGGTATCGAGTCTTTATGTTATGCATGTAAGTTTGTCTGGTAAGGGACGAATGTTTGAGCACTTGGGAATAAGTGATGCTTGATCAACCATTCAAGGCTTAATTATGTCAGACACATTTACCCTTTTTCTTATCACATTAACATGCACCTTTCTGTTTGTTTGTTTTTTTAGATTAGAAGAAGAACTAAAACATCACAAAACACAGTCTTCTCATGAGAAGTTTGCTCTTGAAAAAGTTATGAAAAGGTATGAAGGTTAAAATAGATTTTTAGATAATAATCTTGATCGTTGAAGGTAAGGATTCGAAATGAAAATTCTGTATCTAGTCATCTTTGTGATGGCATATTTATTCCACCTTTTAGCCATTTAATTTCCACGTTCAAATCTTCTGTGAAAAAAATTAATATGCGGCATTGTTAAACGGAAATATCAGAATAATCGACAATTGGTTGATAAATGTACTTTTGATTAATGAATGCTTACATTTCTAACTCGTTACTTATTCAGTTTCTTAATTAAATGCATAATTAATAACATGTATGTAAGAGGGATATTGTCTTTGTGGGCTATTGTCCCAGTGGGTCATTATCCTAGTGGGCTATTGTCCTAGTAGGCTATTGTCCTAGTGGGCTATTGTCCTAGTGGTTCAATGTCCTAGTGGTCTATTGTCCTAGTGGGCTATTGTCCTAATGGACTATTACCTTACACTCTGATCTATTAATATTCATTTAGATGTATATCATTTGTTTAATACATTGACACATGTATTCAAATACGCTGATAAGTACTAAACATCATTTTCTGTTCAATGACGATATCTTTGTGTATTGTATCAATAGGCTTCGACAAGACAATGATAATATAAGCGACGAAAGAGAAAAAGAAAGGAAACAGTATATGACCGAAAAAAAGGAAAACGAAAATACACTGAAAAGGTAGGGTTGTCTTCAATGATCTACGTTAATGTTTCAATATTCATCATTTCAAAGATGCTTCGTTATTCATTTATTTGTAGAGCTTTACATTTTCGTAATTAAAAACTGAAACAACTGTAGTAACCTATACGAAAAAATAGATGCAAATTTATTTTTGAAAGGATGCAGCATGAGCGAGACAAAGCAATACAACAATGTAAAGCTGAAAAAGCGGCAAAGGATGATGCCCTTAGCAGGTACTTTTTATAATATTAATACAATTTATTTTGAAAAATGTATTTTTTACCGCGCACGTGCTTCTTTGAACTTCGGAACGATGCAACTTGTATGTAGCAAATTATAAATGATATCAAATTATAAATCACAAATGTTAAAAAGGAAAACATAAAATAGTGTGTAATAGAAAGAACCAAGTACTGTTTAATCACTTCATAGGTCACTTGGTCTCTTTCAAAACTTATATTCCAATGTGTATGTTTCATTAAAATGTGCCATCAAAAGATACAAATAAACATCATTGGTTTTCTTCAAATTCCTCGTTAATCTATTCTTGAAATAGTGTTAGGATTGGGAGAACGCATTATTCTTCTGTGAATTGTTACATTTCAATGCCATCCTGGCTGAATGTGTTTCAATGTCAGTTTTTATCTCTTAACCCTTTCTTAATTTTCTTCCATAATGGAACTATACATAATCTATTTTAGGATATCAAGATGACAATCTGAGTTATTAAGCCAAACGTATACAACCTGGTAAGACTGCCCGGATGCACAGGTTGGCCTTGCTCTCTATACTGTAGGCAAAGGCGATTTGCTATTAGATGTATCAGTTTAAAGATTAAACAAAATTGTTATGCACTATAAGCATTAAAGTTTTTATCGTTACTATAGTTGGGGATAAGTTGCTGCAAAATAAGTGTAAGCTTGTTAATAATTCACTATCTTTAAAAATACTTTTTACTCGAGTGGTAATTAATAAAATCACATCTTCAGTTCTTTGTTAATTAAATTTACTCGATCAATTGACATATACTTATGTTATTCTATGTTTTAAGATTAAGCACATTGGCATCGAGTAGACTCAGAGATAACAATCCAAACATCACTGATCTTAGTGACCAGAACAGACCTACCAAAATAGCTGAGAAAATGGCTGAGTTGTACGACAACCAGTGGACAGATGCATTTGATGCTTTGGAGCAAACAGATAAAAATGAGAAGGAAATCATAACCTTGCTTTTGGAATCATTGATGGTAAAATAAACGGCACTGCACCAACGTTTGTCAATGACTATATGTAGAGTTTTTTCCATAATAAACAATTCATTCATCTTTAAACCCTCATTTTATACAATGTCTTTACTGTTAAATATAAACAATAAGATGAAACGAATATTTATATTACAAAAATCCGTACCATTTTTATGTTTTTCTGCAATAATGTTAAATAACAAAATCTTACAAAATCTATTTTTACTTTCAAGGCCGGAATAACCATGAAAAATGCCTTATCTCTATTTATTTTATGAGTTCAGTTATTTTTAACATGAATGCATATAAGTAAAGCATAAAAATGTTTAATTATGTGACCAATCAATGCTGGAATATTTAAATGACTATATACATTCATATTTCAGACAGCGTATGGTGAATGTTTCAAACTAGCGAACGACAACTTTTTTGAAAAGGTCCAAAGGGTTATAGAATGTCCGAAAATAGTAAGTAGTCACTGTTACAAAATCATTGACTGGAAGAACGTTAGAAACGTTTTCTGTCTTTCTTAAATTAGCTAAAAATGTTTAACCAACCATGAAGTGTTCTATGAGGAAATGTGAAATAACGGATTATGAGAATATTCATTGCAGAATTTTTGCACTAATTGTAACAGATTATCAATATCGACAGACAGTATTTGTGGTTTACTTTATAGGAAAGAAATTTAGGCAAACGAGAGTAGTCTTACTATCGCCGTATTGAGCTATTAAGCAGAAAAACAACAAAGATTCCTTTCAAATTTATTAAAAGCAAGCTATTTTCGTATATAACAATAACATTCACAGTTTTCCGAGATAATAACGTCAAGTTTTAAACATTATTTTTGCAAAACATTATTTACGGCTGATGGCGTGCAAAAGGAAACATCTTGATCATGAGATTCTGTTCTTACAACTCAGGTTGATGAACAATTGCCCGCTAAAGTCGTCTTATCAGACCAGTTAAAACAAGAAATAAAGGAATTTCGAAAAAATCAGGCAACAAAAGTTTGGAAGGAAATTGAAGGGGTAAGTTTATGAAATTTTAATCTGCTTTCATTTCAGAAGTTTTATAACATTCTTTCCGTAACTAATGTTTATCGTTGTTCAATAAAAACGTACAGTTATTTTTGTATTGAAAATGATGGTTTACCGGTTGGTCATACTTGATTAATGCAGGTTATGCATTTTGAAATAAAGTGTGTTTTTTTTTTCTTTTTTTTCAGTTTTTTCCGAAAATTAATTTTGTTCATCCTTGGCCTATTTTCTCCTTTTGTTGAGATAATTGGTAGGGTTGTCCGGATCCATTTATTAAAAATGAAAAAGCAAAGACAGATTTGAACGAATAATTAAAGTTACAAAAAAACGGGGCCCCGTTTGGGGATTTTTGTTGTAGGGCCACCACCTGTACTGCACAAATTGGCCCTCTTTTAGCCAAGGGTGTACCCCAAGGTTTGTTGGCAGAAAATGTAACCCAAAAATGACCAGAAAAACCTAAAAGGAAATTTCTCCAGAGCATGAGATATTATACCGGAGAAAAAGGATGGGATCCCCCGCTTTGGCTTTTCTAATTAGTGCTACAACGGGTAACAAACAAGGTTATTCAAGAAAATTTAAAACCCCACTGATAGTGATGAAAAATAAATTTTTAAAATAAAAGGAATCCCAAACTTAAAAATGTAGTTTAGTTTTTTTGGAAATGAATTTTAAACAATTTATAGCGTAATCAGAATTTTAGAGGTCATGTCATTTATTTGATCATGGCTTATTACATACCCTGCTGGATTTTGTATCTATTCTGTTTAAGATTTTCATATAATACACCTTGCACTTTTAATCATACTTTGGCACAATCATTTACCTAGATAATTTTACATGTGCATTGTTTTTTTTAAATTACTTGCTTATGATTGCACTCCAGATTCTTGATGTGATACGTTCGATAGAACAACCCAACATAGGTTAGTTATAATGTGAGCCGCGTCACGACAAAACCAACATAGTGCGTTTGCGACCAGCATGGATCCAGACCAGCCTGCGCATCCGCGCAGTCTGATCAGGATCCATGCTGTTCGCTATCAGTTTCTCTACTTGTAATAGGCTTGGTAAGCGAACAGCATGGATCCTGATCAGACTGCGCGTATGCGCAGGCTGGTCTGGATCCATGCTGGTCGCAAACGCACTATGTTGGTTTTGTCGTGGCGTGGCTCATATTATGATACAGAACATTATCACATTTTGACATTAAAATTTATTTTCTGGTCTATATGTTTGGTGTAGTATTTGAATTAATATAATAATTTAAGCTTATTCTCAGTAAATAGAACTGGCATTTTAACGCATCTATTCAATACATTGGATGAAATTGCATACATAAATTGCTTCGTCCGATATTTTCCGTTTAAAGTCTCCAAGATAACAATTGACATAATTATAATATTGTTTTCTTTTATTTATTGTATTTACTTGATTAACATTTAATTAATTTATTTATAGTAATACTTTTTTATATTCTGATTTATATGTACTTGATTTACATTTGATTGATTTATTGATAATAATACTTATTTATCTTTTATAAAATTAAATGCTTATAGAAACTGATACAATTTTATAATTTGTTAGTTAAGTCTCACAATATATTATATACAGCTTCCTCGAAAGAGGTCATTCATTGTTATAACAACTATCATCATGTGTTTTCTAAAATGTATTTTTTATGTTTGTTGTTGTTTGTAATTTAAAACCATCATTCACAGTGCAAAAATAATCTTTTTGATGCTAGTAGAAAGATGGTAGATTAGAAAGATTGTTTGTTTTAATGCTCGATAGTTGTTTGCTTTTTATTCCATTAAACGAGGACCAAACACGTGATATTTACAACTGACGAGACGAATCGTAGTTAAGTTCTGACATTCCTTTTTTGTTTGTATGGACATTTTTTTATTACTTATGTTATAGATCCTCGTAAAGAAAAAACACACAAAAATTCCTGATTTAACCAATTTCTAATAGTGAACTGTATCCCTTAAGTTCTTCAATTAATTTCTGCATTGCAATACAAAGAAGAAGATTCAAGATTATGATAATACTTATTTATTCCACAGAAGATTAACTAACACAGTAAACTAGTCTCTAAAAAAAGTTAAATAACCATTTTATTTCTGTGAACGCAATGTCAGACAGGTAAATCAAGTAACATTTGAGTCTTGAGTTAGACTGGATGTTCAGTTTTATCATGTATTTATGTTATAAAATTTATGTGTGCATTTTTAAAAATTAAAGTTTTTTTTTTACATATACTAAAGATTTTATTGAAATAATGCCCTCCCCCCCCCAAAAAAAAAATATATAAAAAGGATACATGTAATTATTATCTTGGGTTTCTTTTGTTTCTTGTTTTCTACCAACAGATTTTAGCATTTAATACTAGCAATAATAAAGATTAAAAAGAATCAGTCATGGCCTGCCGATTCCCACATACAAGTGCAAATATAGCATGAGAAAACAATGAAGGGCAATGACTCCAAACTTATGATGTGGAGATTTGTCTTACTTGCCAACTGCATTCCTTCTTACAGTGATCTATCCTCCAATGAAGTACCTCTAAAGCTGTGGTTGAGTAAGGTCCCAATACTAAAAATTATGTAAGAAAAACAAAGCGAAGGGGTTACCGCCTTTAAAAAAATGCTATGAAGAGTATTTTATAACAGCTGCAATTGCATACATTGCAACTCTATCCACCTATAAATATAAAATTAATATTCCGCAACACTCTGTGTTTTGAGTCATGTCTGAACCCAAATTTTAAACCTGAATAAATAACGAAGGGGAAAATAACTCCAAAAATTATTAAAAAAGAGGATATAACTGCTTTTTCACTCCACTCTTAAACAATTATTTAACGTTAATCCCCCAGCAAATATTGACAATCATTATTTAGTAAGTTAAAAGTTGGAAATAGAATGCCAATTTCATCCTTGAGACGTTCTACTCAACATATAAATATTGATTTCTACTTGTATTTAAAGATAAAGATTGGGCATTTCTTTTGAATACGTTTTTCTTGGTTTTTTTTATATCCAAAGTTGTGATTACGATGAACAAAGGGCATTCAAGATTCTTTTGATAATAACATGTGTATATGGCACAACAGCAAAGATTTTTTAGTAAGTAGTATAAAGTTGGGGTCGATAAGATAATTCCCTTCTAAATATCAGCTTGAGTAAAATAAGAAAATAAATTTCTTCACAAAATAAGTGTGCGAAACAACTTTTCTAAAAAATTTTACTTGTCTACCTATATTCCATGCATTAACCCGAAAACGTTTTTTATCATCTTGGTGAAGTAAGTGACTGCCATTCAAGCCATAATTTAACAAACAAATTTAAGATGTAGGTAGGTGTTGATTTAAATTATCAACGTCTCAAGTGGGGTTCAAAAAAGCTAAAGCCAGAATTGGTATAAAGCACGTCGTGTTGGGAAACCAGGACTCAGCTAAAAATAGGCTTTTTGCCGAAGGAGGGTTTTTGCAGGGTGCTGAGCGACGGGCATTTTGGGGTTGGCCCAAACAGCCCGGGGAAAGGGGAAATCCCCTTTCTATTTTTCAGGATACTGAAATTTAGGTTCTCATTAAATGGGTAGGGGGCCCTTTTTTTTTGCCCAAAATTCCATTCTCGGGGAAAATTGAAATGGGGGTTTAAATTCACCATTTGTGTTTCAAAAATTAATCATTAAGGGGCGGGAGGGCCCACTTTCCGGGGGGTTCGTACTCGATAGCGAAACCTCCCCTTTGGGGCCCTTTTACGGGCGGAGGACCCCCCATTAACAAAAGACCCCAATCCCATACATACATTTGGTACTTGAATCTGTTTATCCTAAAAGTAAAATAAAGGGGGGTGGCCCTAAATTTTTGGATCATGGTTACCATTAAATTTTAAAAAAACAAAAAATTTAAAACCTTTCTTTTAAAGTGTTCTTAAAAGCGGCGCGGTCTTAATTCCGGGGTGGTAGGGATTCTAATTTGTAACATTGTCACAACACCCTCAGCTACATCTATTCGAGTACCTAACATTCAATGGCATGACACCGTTGGAGTCGCTTTTTACAAATTTTTTTCAAATCTTTAAGAATCTATTTGGCATAGTGTGATTATTACAGTACTTCTAACTAGTTTTTGTCATATTTGATCAATTCGTTTTTGCTCATTACTCCATACAAACCTTTCGTATAAGATGTACCTATCACATTCCAGTGTATGTATAATATTGCAATGTGCAATCTATCTTCGTCCATGAACAGGCTCAATCAAACCGAGCCTGCAACATTTTCCATTTTGCTGTTTTGGACTTTCTTTTGGGGATTCTTATTTTCTCTATTTTACATAAATCATACGAAGATTGGGTCTATGCACGACCCAACAAGATACCAGACATCGTAATCCATTTCTGTTGTTATTTAAACACCAAAGTGATAAAAGAAACAAATCATTACCCAATTTATTTTCGATTTCAATTCTCCGTTTATAAATAAGTAAAATAATTGAACATAGCTAAAGCGGATACGATAAGGCATACGATTCAATGACATTAAACATGTTAAAAATCAATAGAGAAAAACGTATAGTGTATTCAAACGGTGATTTGGCGATTTAAAGTTAGGTAAACTATTATTAAGTATACTGCTTGTACATGTATGTGAAATATGTATTACATTATCTGTTTAAATATTGACACGATATGCGCGATACTCATACGACAGGTAGGACAATTCTATTTACATAATCTTTATCTTAAAAGTGTATGACGTGGTCTGTTTATAGATAACAATACTTATCGCAAGAAATTAAACGCTGGAAAATGACAATAACATAATGGATACATACCCGCTTTTTGGCAGTGTAAGAACAAGTAAATGGAGACAGGAATTACTTCAGAATGAAAAGGTAAAAGCTTTATTTGAAAAACTTTCAAATGAAGCATCTCGTGAAGGTATTCCGCTGACATCTGTAACAGGCCATGAAAATGTCATCCTAACTTGCGCCAAGTTGGAACATATTGATAAGAGATTTGGTAAAGGTGAAACGCTTTTACACTGGGCTGCCAGCTATGAGCCAGCGTACGCAATACCATCAAGTAAGGTATTAGTCCTGCTATTACTTGGTGCGGATCCAAATATTCGAGATGATCTCGGACGAACTCCTCTACATTGGGCGATAAATCACGATTGTTCAGATATCGCAGAAGATGACGAACTCCATTATAACAGAAGAAGTCAAGCTAACGCTGTTAAAGTTGTTTATCAGTTATTACATTACAAAGCATCACCTGACGTCGTCGACATTTATGGCGCATCACCTTTCTGTCATGCAGTGTGGTCGAAATGTTTCGATATAGCAGATATTCTGCGTCCACTCACAAGTGAATGCTTTCAAAAGCCACCTAGATTTTTGCTCGCAGAAAACGAAACAATGAAAAGCATAAGATGTTCAAATGTTGAGCAATGGATAAGACAGAATACATCAAATGTGACAGAAAACGAAAAGAGGTTGCAGAGACTTTTATCTTCCCCAGGGATTGGTTTATTACAACATCCGGATGAAGTTGAGCAGCAAAAAGAGCAAGTCATTTCATTATTTAAAAGGTAAATATTGAAGTCAATAAAGAAACGAAATGGTAAATTTGCATATGTACAAATTATGTTTTTCCTAACTTGATGTGATACGTAAAATATACCTTTAAAATCGATAATATAGTAAGCAGCGGCTTATTCTAATGTTTGGTAGGATATTGGTGGCTTATGTTCAAGGACTGATTATTTTCAAGGTTGATATATTTCCGAGTGAAATAAAGTCTCACCAGATTAGTCAGTCACTTAAAATCTATTTCAGCAGCTGGCGTTTTCAAGTACATATATAGTTTTAATATACATTTGTAATAGGTAAAATCACATTCTGTTTTCCATGCAGATTATCCTGTATTATCGCAAAAGAAGATCATTTACTTGAATTCGTACCAACATTAGCCGGCAGTATGGCTGAGGGAACAAAATGTCAAAAGCCTGATGAACAAGACATTATTCTTCGTCTACTTAAGTTTGAAGATGTCTGCATTCCAGAAAAATCCGAGTTCGCACCAGAAGGTGTCATAACTCTAAAATTCACTGGAAACGAAAGTAAAACAACTGAATATCAAAAATATATCCTTGACGGATATTTGAACAGAGAAGAGATTCTTTACTCTTTAATTACAAAATTAGAAAGGGAGCTTTCATTGGTGTCAAACTGGTCTGGAAAAGAATGCATTAACATATACCCATCGCATTATCCAACAGCAGAGCTTAAACAGGCAATTGACACAGGGGATATTGGCAATGTAAGATTCGTTTGGCATGGACAATACTATAAACAAATCAACCTATCGATAGATATTGTACCTGCAATCATAATAAGAGATTGGAAACCGAACGATGCAACATCCATCGATCCAACAGGAGGTGCAGTTCCAAATGAAACTTTCCTTATTCTTCGAGCATTCATCGAGACTTTCGAATACGATCTAGAGATACATGGTGAATAAAATCTTGACACAGAAAGGTCGGGTGCGGGGCCAACAAATGTAGAAATATTGAATGGTAAAGATTGGGATTCGGGTAGCGATTGCTTATCAGAAACAAGTGACGATGATAACGACAAAGAATAAGTAAATTCAACATCACACCTTTATAACACTTTTATGGCCAGGAAATTAAGGGACGACTATGGATACTCGGCTCCAACATTAAAGAGACTTCTGAGACACTGCGATGCTTATTTCAATGAAGTAAATACAATTCAAGAACCATATGAAAAAGAAAAAACGGCTTATGATGACTACGTTCAATTACATCCATTTAAGAAGCCCCGACAATCTGAAGAAAACGTTTCCAATTCCGTTGGAACAGATATGAACAAAGAAGGCAAGAAAAACAGAGATGAAGAAGCGGTCCATAAATACACAGTTGACAAAAATGTGCCATCTACATCAAGAGAGAGCGAAGCCAGTAGTAAAGAAGCTAGTAATCGTAAACGTAGTAACGTGTGTGGCCTAACTGACATTGGCGATAACGTTAATGAAGCTAATCACGATTCAACAAATATAGAAAATAAAGATGCAAAGGAATTCTTTGAAAACGTTCTGCATAAGTTTGCTCAAATACAGAAAAAATGCAAAGAAAGTGAAGGTACTTGTGGAAACGACGATGACGGTACAAGTAATGAAACTGAAAGCAGTGAACATGAAGAAAACTCTGACGATGAATTAATAAGAAATGAACTTTTGAAGTCCATCGGCTCAAATAAAGTGGGATACGAAGCTTTCCGCGATATACTGGAACCTAAAACAGAGCTTTATCATTCAGAGCTCATATGCAGCGATGATGACAGTAATGAAGATGATACAGGGCTGGATGATCTCAATAGCGACCCGCCACGCGAAGATATGGGTTTCAAAATTTCATACAGTAAGTGGGAAAATGAGACGATGGCAAAATTTCCAAGCTGCATCAAAGTTGCATATATGCTTAGCAAAATTCTTGTTTCATATGTTCCAAGAATAAGAAATCCACTCAATAGAGGAGTTCGTAAAGTAAACGGGTATGGTTCTGTAAAAGACATGTTCAGCTACTTGCTAAAAATGGCACTTTTCCATGTAATTCGGAAACACGGGGATCGTCTTACAATCGATGATAAAACTAAAGAAGATGAGCTGGATCTTAGCAAGACAAAACAACCAAAAAAGGACTGTAATAATGTTGATGTGCAGATAATCTACTCAAGGACTGGAGATCACTGTAAACCAGAAATACAGCCAATGTCTGAGCATTTTCTCAGCTCTAGAGAAATAAATGAAGTGGCATTCTGGGTAGACAACCTGTTTTCCGAGATACAGACTTGTGCCGAAACAGGTAACCTGTGCGCTTATTTTGATCCAAAATTGAACATTTTGGACAGAATAGCAACTAGTGGAAAGCAGAAAAACAGCCCTTATCCTTCTCTGCTGTATCTTCGAAAACACTGTAAAATGATCAGAGCATTGGTACGTGTAGAAGAAAAAGAAACCGACAAAAGGAACGAGTTTTAAAGTTACATAATTTGTGAGCAGATATACATTTTGTAAATTGTTCATTGATGTTAGAAGTATGTTATCATCAATTGGAATTTGACTGTTCACTGGGAGCAGGTTTTTCTCTCTCATAGTAGTCAGCGACACATTATGCATGATACACCATTCACGAAATGATTGACAATTTCAAACTTTCAGTTGTTGAGAAAGCTGTATTGTCACAACGGACATTTATCATAACAAAAATTTTCTTAGAAACCTGTGCACCAGTTTTATTTAAGCCATCCAGGAAAATATTTCGAAGCATCCATTTAGAATGATTTCAAATTCATAAGATACAAATGTTTTGAAGCGTTGTTTTGTATAACATCCTCTTATCTTTTTAAAAATTACGTGTGTTCATGTTAATATAAATGTTCATTTTATAATCAAAATTGTTCTTTATATTCTAGTATTAACCGGAATTCAACATATTGCATAAAATGTTCAACACAATTCTTGGTTGTTTTTTGTCTTTATTTAATTTATGGCATGATATTTTCAGTAACAGTAACATTGTGTCTACATGTAGTAAATACAAGGAACAACATAGTATCATGTATGATTACAAAGTATGTTTAACACAAATTTACATTTCAACCAATTTGTTACAAATACATTAGTACCTACTTTTTTAAAGTCTAGTAGGGTTATTTATAAGATTGTCTATTTCAAATTGGAACCGTCCATTGGCGGAATTAAGGATTTTATTTCAAAATAATGAAATTAATCAGCCAACAATCTAGAGGATGAACTGACGACTTAGAAAGCTCAATATATGTGCCACAAATATATTACATATATACACTCTTTACCAGAGTTTTAACAGTAAAATGTGACAGTAATTTAGCAAAATCAATATAAACAAGAGGGCCATGATGGCCCTGAGGTCGCTCACCTGATATATAGCCCCCCTCCCGGGCCAATTTTTACCCAAGGGCTTTTATTTGAACAGACTTGGTAGACACCCATAAGAAGATGTTTCATGCTGAACATCTAAGTTCTAGCACATTGGGTTTTTTAAAAGAAGATTTTTAAGTTTTTACTATACACATATAGTTAAAAACAATGACACCCCTGGGGCAGGGCCAGTTTTGACCCCCCGGCTTTTATTTGAACAAACTTTGTAGATATTTACTTAAAGATGTTTCATGTATAATATCTAAACTCAAGCTATTTGGGTTTTTTCAAACAAGATTTTTAAGTTTTTGCTATACACATATAAGGAAAATCAATGACCCCCGGGGCAGGGCCAGTTTTGACCCCAGGGCTTTTATTTGAACATACTTGGTAGACACCCATAAGAACATGTTTGATGCTAAATATCTTAGCTCTAGCTCTTTGAGTTCTTTAAAAGAAGATTTTTTAAGTTTTTACTATATGCATATAGGGAAAATCTATGACCCCCTGGGATGAGGCCAATTTTGACCCCAGGGCTTCTATTTGAATAAACTTGGTAGACATTCACTAAAAGATGTTTCATGCCAAATATCAAAGCTCTAGCTCTAACGGTTCTTTAAAAGAAGATTTTTTAAGTTTTTACTATATGCATATAGGGAAAATCAATGACCCCCCGGGGCTGGGCAAATTTGACCCCAGGGCTTTTATTTGAACAAACTTGGTAGACACTCACAGGAAGATATTTCATGTCAAATATCTTAGCTCTAGCTCTTTGGGTTCTTTAAAAGATTTTTTAAGGTTTTTACTATATGCATATAGGGAAAATCTATGACCTCCTGGGGCAGGGCCAATTTTGACCTCAGGGCTTTTATTTGAACAAACTTGGTAGACACTCATTAGAAGATGTTTCATGCTAAATATCTTAGCTCTAGCTCTTTCGGTTCTTTAAAAGAAGATTTTTTAAGTTTTTACTATATGCATATCAGGAAAATCAATGACCCCCTGGGGCGGGACCAATTTTGACCCCAGGGCTTTTATTTGAACAAACTTGGTAGACATTCACTAGAAGATGATTCATGCCAAATATCTAAGCTCTAGCTTTTACAGTTCTTTAAAAGAAGATTTTTAAGTTTTTATTATATGCATATAGGGAAAATCAATGACCCCCCGGGCCGGGGCCAATTTTGACCCCAGGGCTTTTATTTGAACAAACTTGGTAGACACTCACTAGAAGATGTTTCATGCCAAATATCTTAGCTCTAGCTCTTTGGGTTCTTTAATAGAAGATTTTTTAAGTTTTTACTATATGCATATAGGGAAAATCAATGACCCCATGGGGCGGGGCCAATTTTGACCCTAGGGCTTTTATTTGAACAAACTTGGTAGACACTCATTAAAAGATGTTTCATGCCAAATATCTAAGCTATAGCTCTTTCGGTTCTTTAAAAGAAGATATTTAAAGATTTTTCTTTCGGTTGCCATGGCAACCAGAGTTCTGCATGAAATGGAATTCTTTGAACAATCTTGATAGAGCTTCATACAAAGAGTATTCCTGCCAAGTTTCATTAACATTGGCCTTGCGGTATCATAGAAGATGTCCTTAGAATATTTAAAATGTGGACGTACGACTGACGACGGACGCCATTTGGTTGGCCATCCTAAAAGCTCACCTGCACTATGTGCAAGGTGAGCTAAAAAGTGGGAAATAATGCTCAACTGTTTATCAATAATGTCGATCATGAACTTTCTTCTGGTCCATTCACTTTTATCATAAGCATAATAACTATAGTCTTTAAGAGATGTATTGATGAAAACAAAAAACAAAACAGAAAGTATGGTCTACAGTGAAAAAAAACAAGATGAGGATGCTCCTAAAACCGTCACTCGAGTTAAATTGCTGAAGAGTCATAATTCTTTAACTCAGAATAAATTGTTGAGTCACTTTGAGGCTAAATAAATTTTTAATAGGGCTACCATTCAATCATTTTACCAGAGTTCAACTAGGCAATGCTACATGCTAAATACGTAAGTCCTTAGCCTGTCATTTTCATAGAAGATAAAAATTTGTTTCCTCAATCAAAACTAGGTAACACCTGCGGAGTAGCCAATTATGACAATGACAAGTATGATTCTAAAAACTTTCAGAGGCTCCTGTAAATTTTGCCAAATATCTAAGGTTTCTGAGAAGTTTGTTTCCTATATTATTTCCAAACTAGAATAAGTGAGGTTAAACTTTTGTAAGGAACCGCAAAGTGATGCTTCATGCCAAAATACTAGGCTATAAGTACTGTAGTTTTTGAGAAAATGATTTTTGAAATATGTTTAATATACAATTAAATGTAACAATACAGTAACTGTAAGTAACCTTTGGATTGGACAATTTTTTAACCCCAGATTCATTTTATATTTAACCTCTGTACTAGCCAAATATCTAAGCCTAAGGACATGAAGTTTCAAAGAATATGATGGCTGAGTACAATTTCTATATTTTTAGGGATTTTTTCCCTTTTTAAAATAAAGGTTTTTTTATTGTTTCCCAGGGGAAACCATGGTAAAATTTTATAAAATTAGGGAAAAGGGGAAAACAAAAATGTTGTAATTTTTAAAATCCCCCAAAATCTCATTTTTTCACTTTGTGCCCTACTGGGGCATCTAGGGAACCCTTTTAATAACTTTTTTCAAAACCCCAAAAAAGGATCTTTCCCTCTAAAATTTTTGGGTTTTAAATTGTAAAAATGATTTTAAGATTTTGGGTTTAAAAAAAATTTGTGGAAAAGGGATGGAAAAAAAGGGACTGACATTAATCCAAAAAGAAACAACTCGTCCCTAAAAACATTAAATTCTTTGCAGTGAAAGATACCTGTAAAATATTACAATTGAACAGTTAACTTGCATACATTTTTTAAATCAGTAATTTAATGATTTAAATTGGGTTTTCAGGTGACAGTGGCAGAAATAACAGGTTTTAGGACAACATTAGAAAACCCAACACCCGGGAATTTTTTCTTGGCCATAATCATACCTAGGAAAACAAAAGCCTTTGTAATATTTCCCTCTTTATCGCAAATGAATTTGATCCAACAGTGGGTTTGTGGCCCTGAAAATAATGCACTAAAATATAATCAAGGGCCCAAAAAAGGTTTTTTTGGAGAGTTAAATGAATAAAGGGGAAACAACTTCAATTATAAAATAAAAAAGACTAAATATTTAACTGTTATCTTTTTTTATTAAAAAGCCAGCTTTACTTGACCTGTAAAAGGAACACATATTCCCATATATAGTGTGCGCATTCTTTTTATTTAAATAAGTCATATTCAGTTAAAATTCTAAAGATTTCAGTAAAATATCTGCAATAAGAAATTTTTACACAAAGATGAGCATAGTATATCTTTAATTATTATAAGTATGAAGTAATATTTTAGTTTTTACTTACTTATCCATAAAAGCAGAAATTATTTTCTTTGCCTGATGTGGGAAGTAGGTTTGTTTTACAATATGTTCAAGCACTATCAATGGTCCTGTTATATCACTAGGTGGCCGGTATTTCTTGTCCTCACCTGTAATTACATTTAACCCTACTTATTTTAAAAAGTATTTTAACAAGACAATATGTAAAGAACAGAAAATTTCAAAAGTTTAACGTAAGAAAAACCAGTTGCGCTTCCTCTTTTTACTTCCAGCATCTGTCTACTCTGGTAAAATATCACTGCCAACTAAAACGTAAGATAACTATTTAACACACCATTTGCCAAAATATGTCAACCTTATCAATGATATTCCATTTCTAATGATAAAAAACTTTCAAATATCCTACCTTTAATAAACCAATATAGACAAGGTATGCATTTGCAAACAGAGACCCAACATTGCTATCTTCTTTAAAAGCCTCTTCTAAGATGTTATCTGAAAAATAAGCACATCTATTATAGTTCCCTAATTGAACAAAAACAAAGATGCAAACATATGAAAGATATCACTTTATAACTATGAGTTTTTACGGAGTATATTGTTAAAATAGCATCGGTTTTTTTTTGAGATTTTAACATGAATCAGTATTTTCTCTTGTTCAATTTGTGTTTGGATTTATTTTGCTCTAAATTCATAATTGTCAACTATCAATTAAGTGATTGTAGTCAATATTGATTATAATCAAAATGCAAACATTAAACACCAAATACAATCTGCACAAGACATGCAGGAGTTTCCTAGATAATGCTTGGAGATCTAGTCCCATACAGGATACCAGGGTAAACAGATCTAGTCCTATACAGGATATCAGGGTGGAGAGATCTAGTCCCATACAGGATACCAGGGTAGAGAGATCTAGTCCCATATAGAATATCAGGGTGGAGAGATCTAGTCCTATACAGGATATCAGGGTAGAGAGATCTAGTCCCATACAGGATATCAGGGTGGAGAGATCTAGTCCCATACAGGATATCAGGGTGGAGAGATCTAGTCCCATACAGGATATCAGGGTAGAGAGATCTTGTCCCATACAGGATATCAGGGTAGAGAGATCTAGTCCCAATACAGGATATCAGGGTAGAGAGATATAGTCCCATACAGGATATCAGGGTGGAGAGATCTAGTCCCATACAGGATATCAAGGGTAGAGAGATATAGTCCCCATACAGGATATCAGGGTAGAGAGATATAGTCCCATACAGGATATCAGGGTAGAGAGATCTAGTCCCATACAGGATATCAGGGTAGAGAGATCTAGTCCCATACAGAATATCAGGGTAGAGAGATCTAGTCCCATACAGGATATCAGGGTAGAGAGATATAGTCCCATACAGGATATCGAGGGTACAGAGATCTAGTCCCATACAGGATATCAGGGTAGAGAGATCTAGTCCCATATAGGATATCAGGGTGGAGAGATCTAGGTCCCATATAGGATATCAGGGTGGAGAGATCTAGTCCCATACAGGATATCAGGGTAGAGAGATAGAGTCCCATATAGGATATCAGGGTAGAGAGATAGTCCCATACAGGATATCAGGGTAGAGAGATATAGTCCCATACAGGATATCAGGGTGAAGAGATCTAGTCCCATACAGGATATCAGGGTGGAGAGATGTAGTCCCTATACAGGATATCAGGGTGGAGAGATCTAGTCCTATACAGGATATCAGGGTAGAGAGATCTAGTCCCATACAGGATATCAGGGTGGACAGATCTAGTCCCATACAGGGTATCAGGGTAGAGAGATCTAGTCCCATATAGGATATCAGGGTGGAGAGATCTAGTCCCATACAGGATATAAGGGTGGACAGATCTAGTCCCATACAGGATGTCAGGGTGGAGAGATCTAGTCCCATACAGGATATCAGGGTTGAGAGATCTAGTCCCATACAGGATATCAGGGTACAGAGATATAGTCCTATACAGGATATCAGGGTAGAGAGATCTCGTCCCATACAGGATATCAGGGTAGAGATATCTAGTCCCATACAGGATATCAGGGTAGAGAGATCTAGTCCCACACAGGATATCAGGGTAGAGAGGTCTAGTCCCATATAGGATATCAGGGTGGAGAGATCTAGTCCTAAACAGGATATCAGGGTAGAGAGATCTAGTCCCATACAGGATATCAGGGTAGAAGAGATCTAGTCCCGTACAGGATATCAGGGTAGAGAGATCTAGCCCCGATACAGGATATCAGGGTGGAGAGATCTAGTCCCATACAGGATATCAGGGTAGAGAGATCTAGTCCCATACAGGATATCAGGGTGGAGAGATATAGTCCCATACAGGATATCAGGGTGGAGAGATCTAGTCCCATACAGGATATCAGGGTGGAGAGATATAGTCCCATACAGGATATCAGGGTAGAGAGATATAGTCCCATACAGGATATCAGGGTAGAGAGATCTAGTCCCGTACAGGATATCAGGGTAGAGAGATCTAGTCCTATACAGGATATCAGGGTGGAGAGATATAGTCACATTCAGGATATCTGGGTAGAGAGTTCTAGTCCCATACAGGATATCAGGGTTGAGAGATCTAGTCCTATACAGGATATCAGGGTAGAGAGATATAGTCCCATACAGGATATCAGGGTAGAGAGATCTAGTCCCATACAGGATATCAGGGTAGAGAGATATAGTCCCATACAAGATATCAGGGTGGAGAGATCTAGACCCATACAGGATATCAGGGTAGAGAGATGGACAAATATACCGTCATGAAGTGACATAATTAATAAATAACATTTATTCTTATAAGCTTACTTTCCCTTGCTAAAATAGAAGTTTTGTATGTAATGCAAGAAGTTACATTATCCAAGCTATGGAATCTATTCCAGTAAATATAATAATTATTACGTTTTTTAGCAAGTGCATGCCAACATCTCAGACAGACCAAATTTTCATCTTTTTTTTACTCTTACTAACAGCCCCATTGTCACATAAAGGATTTGCTGCACCAAAGATTTTGAATTGCACGTCTAAAGGCAGGTTTTAATTTCTGAATGTCTTGCATAATACACATAAAGATAAAGTAAAACTTACCATATATTTACCACTTAAAATTCCAGTACAGTATATTTTAACACATTCATAATATGTTTTTAAACAAAGGCTAAAAGAGTAAAATTATATCAAACATACCTGCACACTGACAGACTGTTTCACAAGACTTTTTGTCTTCTTCTCTTACAACTGTAGATATCTACAAAATCAATCATATCTATTTGCTATTTTTGTATTATATTGATAAACACCAAACTTAGTAGCATTTTATTCATGCCATGCAAAAGATTTAACTAGTCCAGATTCTGTATTTTTAAACCATTACTATAGTCGCAAGGACAGAATCCTCAACTAATCTCAGTACTTGATAGTAAAACAAGAGCCTGAATAATGTTGCAAAAGTGTCACAATTCTGTCGAAATCCATGTTAAAAGTTGTGGACCTTGGGCAATTACCGCTTTTATGCTCTCAGATAGGTGTTTTCAGTTTCCTTCTGTAGTTTTGGAAAGACCGACTTGCCTGTAAAAACTAAACCAAAGTGAGACCTGTACGCCAACACCATCGCTAACAGCTGGATGAGTACAATAGTCTTAGTTTCCCCACTATCTTGGGAAAAAGTAAGGCTATTTTTGCCATTCCCGTATTTTCTATTTAGAATCAAATTTTTACAACCCTACCTATATAAAACACTGAAAAAATTTTTAGTGGAGATAAATTAGGTATATCATTGACAACAAAAATGATCTAATTGTCAAGTCTTTGGACTTGAAAATTTTCTTTGGGTTTTGGGTTTTTCATTGCAAACCCAAAACAAATAATGTCAAAATGGTGACTTTTCCAAACTGGAGTAAGACCCCAGGGGGAAACCCCCCTTGTTTTATTTTAATGTAAAGCAGGCACCCAAAAGAACCAAAAGATGAAAGGGGTTTGGAAAATGAAATCGTACTTTTTATGCTTTAAAGTTCTCTGTATCAAGTTAATTCTACTGGCTCTTAAAGATGTTTATAATCAGCATAAAAAATCTTATATGAAATGCCAATTAATTGCTGCTGCAAACTTTTGATATGAGATCAGTTATTAAAATTATATTTGCATTTTGCCGCTTCCCCTCCGGTAAATTCTTAAGGCAAAATGTTGCTAGACAAACTGCAAAATACAAGACCCTGTATAAAATATTTGCATGTATATTCATAGAAATATTTTTACATTCATCCCTTTTTTAAAAAGACTTGTGTTAAATTTTTCATGAATATATATTTCTGTTTCTTTCTATACTTACTCTAATCAAGGTGCCAACTGTTTTATCTATATCTTTAATGTCATTCTGTAATTGAAAGAAGTGCAAATATGGATTGATGCAAAACAATTGTACCGAAAAGATATCAAGTAGAGCTACAGCTATTTTCAGCTAATAAATGTACATTATAAGTGCAGGTCTATCATGTACTGTTGCCTAGATATAGATATGATAGTTTCATATTACCATTTTACATTTCAAAGCAATATCTCAAAGGGTTGAGTGAAAAAAAGGATAAGTACAAAAAGAACTTAACCAAAGTGCCACACTGAAGCAAATGCCCTTTGGTAGGATAGTCTAATGTGGAGCAAAATTGAAATAAACTAGTCATGATATTAAAATATAACATAGCAGTTATATGTTGGTAGCTTTACAGTACTGTCAATATGATAAACGTTGTAGAGAAACTTTTAGATCAAATTATGGCAGAAAAAACTCTAAAGATCCTCTGAACATTATTTCACACACATAAGCAGTTCATTATATATACATAAGATATTTAAATGACATTTCAAAACAAAAGACAAGAGGCCCTGAGGTCGCTCACCTGTATATAGGCCCCCGGAGCTGGGCCAGTTTAAACCCCAGGGCTTTTATTTGAACAAACTTGGAAGACACCCATTAGAAGATGTTTCATGATGTTAAGTTTTTACTACACACATATAATGAAAAATAATGACCGCCCCCCCCCCCCCCTTTGGCAGGCCAATTTTAACCCAAAGGCTTTTATTTGAACAAACTTGGAAAACACCAACAAAAAGATGTGTCCTGCTTAAAATCTAACCTCTAGCTCATTGGGTTTTTTAAAAGAAGATTTTTTAAGTTTTTACTATACACATATAGTTAAAAACAATGACACCCCTGGGGTGGGTCCAGTTTTAACCCCAGGGCTCTTATTTGAACAAACTTTGTAGACACTTACTAGAAGATGTTTCATGCTTAATATCTAAACTAGCTATTTGGGTTTTTTCAAAGAAGATTTTTAAGTTTTTGCCATACACATATAAGGAAAATCAATGACCCCCAGGGGCGGGGCCAATTTTGACCCCAGGGCTATTATTTGAACAAACTTTGTAGACACTTACTAGAAGATGTTTCATGCTTACTATCTTAACTCTAGCTATTTGGGTTTTTTCAAAGAAGATTTTTTATGTTTTTGCTATATACATATAAGGAAAATCAATGACCCCCGGGGCGGGCCAATTTTGACCCCAGGGCTTTTATTTGAACAAACTTTGTAAACACCCATTAGAACATGTTTCATGCTAAATATCTTAGCTCTAGCTCTTTGGGTTCTTTAAAAGTAGATATTTTAAGTTTTTACTATATGCATATAGGGAAAATCAATGACCCCCTGGGGCAGGCCAATTTTGACCCAAGGGCTTTTATTTGAACAAACTTGGTAGACACTCACTAGAAGATGTTTCATGCCAAATATCTAAGCTCTAGCTCTTTGGGTTTTTTAAAAGAAGAAATTTAAAGTTTTTTCTTTCAGTTGCCATGGCAACCAGAGTTCTGCATGGAATTAAATTCTTTGAACAATTTTTAAAGGTGACCACCAAAGGAACATTCCTATGAAGTTTGGATGAAATTGGCTTAGTGGTTTATGAGGAGATGTCATTTAAAGTAAAAGTTTACGGACGGACGGACGACAGACGGATGCCGGACGAAAAGCGATCACAAAAGCTCACCCGGTCACTTTGTGACAGGTGAGCTAAAAAAACTAAACCACCCTAAAGTTGGCTCCATATTATTATTTCAGTTAATATTTACACATATTTATATTTCACTTTCTGGTCAAGCACATCAAATCAAAACTTGTCACAACTAATAAAGTCAACAACATACTTCTTACTACATTCAGATCAACGAGAGTCCCATGTTCAGCTCTTTTATAAAACATTTCCTATTCTATATAAACATGAAGTAGAAACATACCCCTAATTCTTGCCTCAATGATGAAGGAAGATCACCACCTATGCTGTGTAATTTTGTTGGTGATGGAAATGACAGGAATTCTTTCACATTTACACTCTGAAAATGGAAACCATTAAAATACTGATGTCTATAAATCCAAGAAAATAATCTCATGAAATTACATTAGTCAAAATGCAGATACATACTAACCATACAATGCTAAACTTAGCATTGTTAATGCCACACTGTTGATTTACTTGTGTTACATGACCTAGGGTGTCCCTCTAATGGCCTCTATAAAATATTTCCTGGCACAAACCGTAACTAAGTATAATCACCAATCTTCAAAAAGACTACCCTTTAGTACAACTGCCTCACATGAAATCTCAATAGAGGCCGAACAAACATCCATGGCAATGAAGGGACACAGTATGAAAGTCAGGGAACTTGATCTTATATATGTATACTTGTACCTTTTCCTGTCAGAATGTATATTCTGGAATTTATCAAATGCCTTTAAATAAATGCCCTTTTTCCAATCAATATAACAAGAAGCTATTTTCTAAACATTACTACACAATCATAAGGTGTCAATATTTTATTTCAAAAAATTAACTTCATACAAAAATAAACAGTGTACAAAAATAAGTGCACTTTAAAACAACACTTTTTATAAAACAGATTGTAAGAAATTCTGAAAAATTATTAAAATGCAATGATTAAGGTAAACAACTAAAAGTGAGCAATTTATCTAAAAAAATAAATTATTAATTAATATGATCATGAGATTGTTTATGATGCATGATATTTACCCTGATATTTTTGTCCATAATGCAATAATCATATTGTAGATTTTATCAAATGTATAGAAAATGTAAGAAAGCTCAGACTTGTCAAGAAAGTACATGGATTCCTGCTGAATTATTGTGATATTATATAAAGCTGTCAGAAGGTCAGCATGCTCGACTATTCTTAGTGCTTGATAGTAAATAATATAGAATTTTCTAAGTTCGAAAAGAACCACAATTCTGTCAAAATCAATGTTAGATAAATGGGCTTTGGATAGAGATTTCCTATTATGCTCTGAAGTAAGTGTGTGAACTTTTAACCAAATTCCTTTGGTACTTTTTGAGATACCAACTGGCAAGCAAAAACAATACCACGTATGACGCTGACACCTGGGTGAGTACAACAGCTCTCCCTATTTTTTTTCAATAGTCAAGTAATAAAAAATGGGCAAGAATGATTTATTTATGTACATGTAAATGGTGTTTGAAAAAGTTAAACAAGAGGGCCATGATGGCCCTGAGGTCGCTCACCTGTATAAAGGCCTACACACATATAATGAAAAACAATGATCTCCTCCCCTCCCCCTTCCCGCAGGGCCAATTTTAACCCAAGGGCTTTTATTTGAACAAACTTGGTAGACACCCATAAGAAGATGTTTCATGCTAAACATCTAAGCTCTAGCTCATTGGGTTTTTTAAAAGAAGATTTTTTAAGTTTTTACTACACACATATAATATAAAACAATCACACTCCTGGGGCGGGGCAAGTTTTGACCCCAGGGCTTTTATTTGAACAAACTTGGTAGACACTTACTAGAAGATGTTTCATGCTAAACATCTAAGCTCTAGCTCATTGGGTTTTTTAAAAGATTATTTTTTTAAGTTTTCCTATACACATACATGTATAGTGAAAAACAATGACATTCTAGGGCGCGGAAAGTTTTGACCCCAGGGCTTTTATTTGAACAAACTTTGTAGACACTCACTAGAAGATGTTTCATGCTTAATATCTAAACTCTAGCTATTTAGGTTTTTTCAAAGAAGATTTTTAAGTTTTTGCTATACACATATAAGGAAAATTAATGACCCCCAGGGTGGGGCCAATTTTGACCCCAGGGCTTTTATTTGAACAAACTTTGTAGACACTCACTAGAAGATGTTTCATGCTTAATATCTAAACTCCAGCTATTTAGGTTTTTTCAAAGAAGATTTTTAAGTTTTTGCTATACATATATCAGGAAAATTAATGACCCCCAGGGTGGGGCCAATTTTGACCCCAGGGCTTTTATTTGAACAAACTTTGTAGACACTCACTAGAAGATGTTTCATGCTTAATATCTAAACTCTAGCTATTTGGATTTTTTTCAAAGAAGATTTTTTAAGCTTTTGCTATACACATATAAGGAAAATCAATGACCCCCGGGGCGAACCAATTTGACCCCAGGGCTTTTATTTGAACAAACTTGGTAGACACCCATAAGAACATGTTTCATGTTGAACAATTTTTAAAGGTGACCACCAAAGGAACATTCCTGTGAAGTTTGGATGAAATTGGCTCAGTGGTTTATGAGGAGATGTCATTTAAAGCAAAAGTTTACGGACGGACGACGGGCGGACGGCCGAAATGGAATAAGGGGCCATTTCTTTTGTTATTTTCGATTGTTTAATAGAGGGCCAATGGCCCCTTACTCTATCATGGGTGCAAGTTAAAAATTTTGAAAAACCTGAACTATTTGTTTGGGGGCCAGGGGGCCGCAAGGGCCCCCGGTGGGTCCAGGGCAACGCCCGACCAGGGGTCCAGGGGGCCGGAGGCCCCCGGAAGCTCCTGCATTATACCACATTTGAAGGCCTAAAATGCAATTCCCTTGAATGATTACATGCCAGATAACATACATACTGTAGTATAGTATTTTCACTTAAATATTGCTCACATAATTATTTTCTTCTGTTCTCTCTCATTTTCTTAATTATATAAACAAAAACATTTCAACACAAAAAGAAATGTGCATTCATATATTGTTTCCACTATTTAATATTGTGGTTCCAACAGTAAAGAGTGATAAAACAAACCAATATATAAATAAATTGAAAAGTGAGTTGATTTGTACCGAGTTTACGTTTTAATTAGGGCTGAGCTGACCCTGATTCCATACAAACAATAAATTGTTTTCAAAAAAGATAATTAAAACAAGCCTGGTTATGTTTCACAGTAAGTTTGTTTTTCATATGGTTTGGATCGTCTGCGTGCATTTAATTCTTTTTTCCCTGCTGGATCCATACTTGATGGATTTTCTACATACAGTGCAGAAAGCTACGCCGGGAACGTCTGGCTATTCCAGCCAGTTTCCGTAGTTATCCCCGTTTCGATCACATACAGACAACCATTCCCATCTCCATTTATTTTTTGAGGTCTTCTCGAAATCTTTTGTATTAAATCATTCGTGTAGAACTTCATTTTGACTAACAAATTGTACTTTCTGTTTACATATTACTCTGTAGCTGAATCGGTAACGAAGCCGCTTTTTCATTGGATGATTATAATTAGCGCGCCAATCTAAATCGTTGTAATAAATTCACGGATGAAATTGCATGCCGGGATTAATAATACATGTTTTCGTAAACATCTCGTATATCTTCGGAAACTATCGGCAGTTTCCGCGAAAGTTTACTATTGACGCTTCGAGAACAACCGTGAGCATCCGTATGTTATATAGCGTTCTCGATTATGAACTTCTAATCGGTGGTACTTCTCAGTTTGAAAGAGTAGACCCGCACCATACCCCTCCAAATATCTCAACGGATTTACGTGATTTGCAAAAATGATCCCTCCGGCACGTGAAAAACCGGAACTTCCGGCACATGCCGGAAAACTTGCACCCATGCTCTATTGTTACAGAATTAACTCTATTGTTCTCTTTTGTTCTGTTTACAGTTAGATGGCCCCCAATCCTTATTCCGTAGTGCGGACGGACGACGGACGGACGGACGCCGGACGAAAAGCGATCACAAAAGCTCACCCTATCACTTTGTGACAGATGAGCTAAAAATCCATCCTTTTGTTTCCTTAGTCAAGCTATAAATGATCTCCTCCAAGAAGGTACTTAACCCATAACCTGCTGAATTTCTAACATGGACCTGACTTAACTGTTTACTATAAATTTTGAGATCAAGATGAAAATTTGGGAGTTGGTCAGTCAACAGTAGAGCCTGGTCAGACTGTCAGAGATGTACCTGCTGGCCTGGTTCTAAGAAGATGGTAAAAGCTAATCACTTTTGGTTCCCGTAGGTCATGATTAAACTTAGTCTGTTTGTAAAGATCGCTAAAACTGAAAGCATTCCTAAAGCACAAAAGTGTTTTCCCCACATTGAAAGATGAAGATTTTTAACTTACTGCCTACATTTTGAGATTTTATACATGTTTTCAACTGTGTATCTAATTTTGCCATGTTTTAATAATACCGGACTTATTTTCCTCAATATCTAATTCTAAACATTAACCAATACATGTAAATGAAGGTTAAATTACCAGAGTTTTCATCATTGCTCATTCGTTTGTTACTGTCAATCATGTCAACAATTTAACAAATGCAATGTGGTAGCTTACAAAAATGAATTTAACAGATAGTTATAAATGAACACAAAGACAGATATATTAAAACATTACAAATTCATTCATTGTTCATCATCTTGTAATGCATCATTATTTCATGCCATCAACATATACACAAAATGACATATTTCACAACCTTCAAGATACTGTAATATTTACTTTTTATGTTCCTCAGTTATAGTATGAAATCATAATCCTTATGAAAATTGAATATTTTTTTAGTGAAGGCTCCCTTCACATCACCCAAAGGGTGTTGGACTGTTACTTTTTTTTCATATTTCAATCCATATAAAAAAGGAGTTTTGCATCAATATTCAAGAACTTCTTATCAAGAAAATTTCAGGTTCACTGAGCTTAAAAATAAAAGTTATTACAGCAATAAAATGCAAAATTTGAAATGAAATCTAAAAACAGTATTGCTACTGCAATTAACAATTAAAAGATGTCTCAAAAAAATCTTAAGCTTTTGTATGAAAATAAAATGTAATACCTCAAACATGTGTATGAAAAACCTGCATTACGATTTATATCTTAATAATTCACTTTCACTGTCAACTCTTCTCCTTTTTCACAGAGACAAAAGACAAATACCTACTCAACTTCTTCTCTAATCAAATATGTCACTGGTGGATAAAATCTTACCATTGTTAGACTGGCTATACCAGTTTACATAAACAATATTATCTCAACATTCAATTTATGAAATAATGGAAACAAAGTTCTGTCAATGAAAGCACAGCTTGAAAAGTTGGTGAGCATGCCTTTATCACATGTTAAGGGTGACTTAAAAAACTTTTTAAGTGTGTTAATAAAACAATAACACAGTGCTGCTATGAGTATTTTAAGATGAGATCAAGGGGTCAAGTTAACTTCATTCTGTCCATTTCTGCAGCAAGGTCAGCATCAGTGACCTGCAAATAGAACCAATCAATGTCTGATTTACTTTTATACTTTATAGTCAAAACTAACCAATTATTTTTAAATCAAAATGAGTTTCCTCATATCAAAGACAATTCCTTACATGTAGTTCTCATCTAATGATCTCATCTAATGATACTAGATTTGCTATTTGCCCCCCCCTCCCCCCCCCCAAAAAAAATAAGTACAGCCATACTTGACCAACAGCCAGTGTTCTCCATTTATCTAACTGAGCAAAATGGACAGAATGTTTTAACAAATCAGTCTAAAGGATAATTAAATCAAAATCACAAAAAAAAATGCATGGTCCTTTTATATAATAAGACATATTAAGTACAAACCTGTTTGGGACTTAGTGCTGTTCCTCGCACTTGAAGTTGAGGGTCATCAACATGATCGCCCTCGGTATCCTCCTGTGCTTTTTCCTCATAGCTTTCATCATAATCGTCCTCAATATCTTCCTCATCACTGCCCTCATCACCACTGTAATAGATATAGTGAAACTTAAAAAAGTGCCGGAGACCACATTAACATACCATATTCCGTTATATACCATACAAGGTGCTTGAATGATTAAATGCTAAAATCTCGCCTTTTCGACCGCCAAAATGTATTTAAAGATGTCTAATTCATCTCTTCACAAGGATTTATTTATGATCATGAATGAAAAATATAAGTATCTGCGAAAATGCTTTACTTTTTATGTTGAGATCATGAATTCTGCAAGCATCAAAGGCACTGCTCCAACACTGAAGTCAGTTAAAGTCCATATACATATTACAATATAGGTATAAAAAGTAGATAACCAACCTTAAGGAGCCTAATATATCTTGTTTACCAATTGCTTCTAATGTAGCTTGTACAAGTTCAACACCTTCCTCTCCAAGTTGATTTGCTGTAAAATATTTTTTGTTCAAATTACCATTTTTGAAAATTTGTTAAGAGTTACAGTGGTCTTTTTCATTAAATTTTTATGTTTTACCCACTAATTTTAATGATTGCTTATCAAGTTTACTCGGGATCTTACACCACAGAACTATGTTTTTAAGTGAAAAGGTTATTTTAAAATTGACTTGCATACTACTTGACTTCTGATTTTGGACAAATTCTATCAATCTGGACCATTTCAAATAATCTTAAACTAAATCAAGAGTAAATTCCTAAGAATATCATTTAACTTAACAAATTAACTAACCATATTATATATGAATATGAACATAATTTTTATACAGTCAACTAAACTAGTCATTTATAGATTTTTCTCTTTTTGGTTGGGTTTTAGGACACACCAACACAGTAGAGGTCATAGAGACCAGTCTTTCTGTTCAGCTTGTTGAAGTAATAATAAACAAAATAAGATGTGTCTTTAAGCTCTCAGCATGGCAAATAAATGAATGTCAGTGTATATATACTAAATTTTAATGCCTAAAGAGCTCCACTATGTATTTATAAAATAAACTTACAGTCTAGGTCTAGCAATGTTAGATTGTCTTTGTTCTCTACTGATTCTGCTACAACACTGGCTCCTTGTTTATTGATTTCATTTCCACTAAGAATCAATTCCTATTAATATACACAAGTCAAGCAATGTGAATAATTCATAATTACTAACATTTACAGAAAATAATTGGCCCATTATGCCTCAAAAAAATATTATAAGCCGCGTCACAACAAAACCAACATAATGGGTTTGCGACCAGCATGGATCCAGACCAGCCTGTGCATCCTTGCAGTCTGATCAGGATCCATGCTGTTCGCTTACAAACCCTATTACAAGTAGAGAAAGCGCAGGCTGGTCTGGATCCATGCTGGTCGCAAACCCACTATGTTGGTTTTGTCATGACACGGCTCAATTATTTCATTCTGTAAAAAAACAAGTATGAGTTTTATAAAATTTAGGTTTAAGAGCATGTTAGATGTATATCACCAGAAGAATGTAGTGCTGAATGTGAAATTATTGGTCACAAAAGTAGCAAAATGTAAACAAAGTAGTAGTTTGACTTCCATACAAAATACTAAATCCCCATAACTGTACTAATTGCCAAAAAGCAACAGAAGAAAAAGATGGCTCAGGCAAGTGACCAATGAGTATCTTTTTTTAAAAACTAGAACTCCGCGAGTCGGATGTGTCACCTTGTGAACAATATAGTTTAGGAAAAAATGGCCAGGACAAAAATGAAGAAAATAAAGAAGTGCAGAGTACCGGTTCTTATACACTACACTTTTTCTTAATGAGATCTATCATCCTATGAAGTTTAAAGACCATAGCTTTTATACTTTAGGAGAAATGGCCTGGACAAAAATAAAGTATGAAAATTAACAAAGGGCAATAACTCAAAAAAAAAGAAATGCAGAGTACCCGTTCTTGTGCACTGCACTTCTTCTTAATGAGATCTATCATCCTATGAAGTTTCAAGTCCATAGCTTTTATACATTAGGAGAAATGGCCCAGACAAAAATAAAGTATGAAAATTAAAAAAGGGCAATTACTCAAAAATTAATAAGTGCAGAGTACCGGTTCTTGTGCACTGCACTTTGGGTCATTATAAGAAGCATGATACCAAGTTTAAAGTCAATCCGACTTATAATGACTGACTTATGCTCCGGACAAGGACAACTATTTTAGGTAGGGTTTTATCCGTTTAGCAATGACTGTGCATGCGCCACTCGCTTTAAGGCAATTTGTTGCGATGTATTTATTTTTAAAATCCAAACAATAAATTTTGCATCAGATATATAACTTTATACACATAAAGACAATAAAATTATTAAAACTAAATTTTGTTATATTACCTTTAATTTTTTATGTCCATCACGTATTGATCTAGCTATAACTTTTGCACCTTCTGATCTGATTAAACAATCACCAAAATTGATCACCTCTAAATTCTGTAACTTTGGTAGCACCTAAATGCACAAAATTCATTAGCTTTAACATCCAAGGGGAGTAACAATTACATGCATATTTTGAAATATACATCAAAAGTTACTTCCCTTTAAACATACATTTACAATAATTCAGCATTCTGTAATTCTGTATCAAAAGTAACTATTTTTTGCATGATATTCTAATTATAGCTACATTGACAAGTATATTTTCAGATAAAGAAATAAATAATGTTGTAGAAGATCTCTGACTTCAGTGGAACAACATTTTGATTGGCTACCTTTTTTAACGGATTACAAAAAATTGTAACCAAATTCTCTCAACCAAAGTTTATAATAGAGCATGTTCAATCATGACATAGCTTGTATTATAGCACATTTAGTTTGATATTAGAAATTCTGACTCTAAATCATAAATAAGAACTAATATATTATCAGCTTATTAAATATAATTCAAGTTCAAAGACCAAAAAATAAAAAATCCAGTGTACACAACTGATTAAATGGATACATACAAACAAAACTACAGTCAAACCTGTGAACAGAACATGACTTATTCCTCTTGTAAGACAAATACTTTATTTGAATGGTTATTTTGTTAATTTTAATCAAAGAAGGAGAGTCAGAGTGCCCTTCATTAACAAGGTGATCTTTGAAGTAAGGTTGTCTTTAACACAGGTTGGACATGTGCCATTAGCCAAGCAAGATTCAAGTCTATTATGGTGAGGTAGGTTTATCAGTTAATCATTTATGTCTGACAGTAATAATCAACACATCACAGAAATGGTCACTGACTGACTTAGAGCTGTCATTGATTCAGTGCAAAGCATATCAATGATATATCGATATCAGATGACTAAAATCAACAATACACCGATATATTGATAATAACCTATAATTACTTGTCTATCATTCACTTTCATACCTGTTTAAATTATTTCAGTTAAAAACATGTTCTGTACAGTGTTTTGTCCACTGCATTTTTTTTTCCAGACAATATTTTTTGTCACCATTGCTATCAAATATTTCCACTATATAACAAAAGTATAACATTAGACATAAATGACTGTTCTGTATATGCTTTGGGTGATTTTATTTATAGTTTCTAGACATTTAATTAATTAGTCAAAAGTATCGATCTTTTGAAATGTGTATCAATTATTGATCGTCAAAGAAATATCAATGATACATCGATATTGTCTCTATCGATGACAGCTCTAGACTGACTATATTCAGAGATCACCTAAAATAAATCATACATACTTTTGCCATAGATTTTGCCCCTTTCACTGTGAATGTGTTATCATTAAGGTTGAGTATTCTAAGATTTGGATTATGTTCAAACGCTTGAGACAGAGCCGATATTCCCTGGTGATTAATACCATTCTGTGGCATCTGTACTTCTCTCAATGAACCCATCAGCTGTCATAAACAAAAATCTGCTGTCAGCAAACAAAAATCAGCTGTCATAAACAAAAATCAGCTGTCATAAACAAAAATCAGCTGTCATAAACAAAAATCAGCTGTCAGAAACAAAAATCAGCTGTCATAAACAAAAATCAGAAATCAGCAGTCAGAAACAAAAATCAGCTGTCAGAAACAAAAATCAGCTGTCAGAAACAAAAATCAGCTGTCAGAAACAAAAATCAGCTGTCATAAACAAAAATCAGAAATCAGCAGTCAGAAACAAAAATCAGCTGTCAGAAACAAATATAATGTATATTACAATATGGGATCAATCTGTTACAACAAAATTTGTATTGATTAAATGATCTTTGTAACATTTATCTTGATAAGACTGGATGCTATTATACTATCATTGCCAACTATTCAATCAATAACACATAAATAACATTTTATAATAAATAATTGGACATTAAAGTAAGCAATGATACAGTAAAACAATAGTTAAAAGATAATACTTAATAGACATCATTTTAAAATTAAATACTGTACATTTACGTTCATCATATTCTTAACAACTATTCCTACATAGCAATATAATAATCTGTCTTTGTAACGAGCCAAAACATAATGACTCAATAAAATACATTCAATCATGTCACGTCCTCTGACACAATGAGTTCCAATATCTGAGCAATTACCTTGAAGACTTCAGACAGAGCTGTTGATCCCTCATTTTCCAGCCTTCCTCTCCCTGAGATAAATACTTCCAGTGCTAAGGGAGTCCCTGCAGCTTTACTAGAGTTGTAGCAGTCCATCAAACAATCAGCTAACATCTGAAACAATTCCATAATACATGCATATATAGTTATTAGTTGAGACCATTATTATATTTCCCATTTAGATAATTGTAACATAGCATTGTATAACCTTTTCCAAAATCTACTGTATATATTACAGTTGACATATACCACAGAATCTATATCAGACAATGACATTTCTTACATGTTCTAAGCTATATATACATAAAAACAACATTCATATGTTCAAAATGAGAAAGGGATAAATGCTGTGAAATACTGAGTTTTTATAGATAAACCGAGTCTTTTTTTTCCTTACATTTACCTCACTTGATAGAAAAATTTCAAGTGTTTCACTGGATAAGAAAATATAAAGAGATATTTAACATTCACCTCACTTGACAGACAAATTTTAAGAGTTATAATTTTAACTATTTAACATTTATCTCACATGATTTGGGAATATAGAGCTTTTTTACATTAATAAAACGATAAAAGCAATAGAGAAACAGCCATTAGAATTGACATTGTGAGAATATTAATATAGTATACATGTATGTCACAAGTTCCACAATCAGGCATTTGTAAACTGTTGTATTAAAACAAGGAACAATGTAGAAAATAAAACCTAAATGTCACCTATTTGCATGATGCAATAAGCAATTCATTAACAATCAATTAAATGCTGTTAGATATTATTTTCCTTATTACTACCACTTTAACATATATAAAATCTGAGTAAAGTGAAGTTTTCTTTGATTTCCAATGATCTTTTGTAAATGAGACACTGGTGTGAAAATCTGTTAGATCAAATAGAGACATGTTATTTCTCTTACAAAAGAGGTGCTTTGTTTATATCTATCTATATAATATATGAAACTGACATAGCACCTATGGCCACCATTATGTCAATTGCAATTCAATACCATCACTATAATGTATCATTTTATATCAATAATGTGCTGAATCATTCATTATTCATGGTGAATATATAAGCGAGGACAATCAACAGACTTAGTATCTCTCACTTTCAATTAATGAATCATTACATGAAAAGATTAATATTGATATATTAATATTTCCTGTAACAGATATAAGATAGTTCTTCTACAGGGCATTTTGATTTTTAAAAAGAAAATGTATGTAAGGCTAAAACTATTATGAACATGATTTTTCTAGGTAAAAGAAAGGAATGAAGAACTTCAACACAAATATCAAACATGAGGTCAATCATGAAGAAATCTGTAGGTTTCAGTGAGTCCATCAGATTCTTCACTAATGAAAAATCAACCCACTCAGAAAATAAGATATTGATTACTTTAAGAAAACATGTTCTAGAAATAGACTGAAAGTTGGTATTTTCCCAATTATTTGGGTTTTTAAATGTATTTTGTTTTACAGGGAGTCCAAAAGTCTAAAAACTTAAATTTCTTTGCTAGACCAACTGAAGCAATTAATTCGGGAAAATATGCAAAAGGTGATATTGATTATATATATATATAGTGTACTAAGAATTAAATTGAAAATCAACTTTATGAGCAATTCTAAGAGTTAAAAGTGTTAATATATTTATAAATGGTTTGCAAGGAGAAACAGCAGTTAAATCATTATCCAGTCATTTTCTCTTTATTGCAAAATTTTACATTGTTTTGTTGAGTTTTAAGTTACACCAACACAGTATAGATCAAATAAATAATTTCCAGCTTTCTAAACGGAGGTGGACAGCAGGTGCCCTTCTATGCATTATTTAGGCAAAAGTGGGCATCTGTGTAGAACCTCCAACCTTAAGATATTAATTTGCATATTTCCTGACCTCACTGTGACACATAAAAGAATCAAAGTCCCTAACAAGATTTGTAGCTTTGTAGCTTTTAGCCTTCAATGAAGTAACATAGGATAGGTCAGTTTCTGCATAATATGTAAGGTTTTAAAAATAAATTGAAAATAATAAATTTAAGATAGAGAGAAAAGAATGCCCAAAGAAAGCCAAATCGGTTTGCCCGAGTCTGTTCATGAACAGTAGTGGTAATTACAAGCTATCGTCCACGTCCCCTAGGACAGTCTTAAGCAGAATTCAACTTCTACAGGGCATTTTGATTTTTAAAAAGAAAATGTATGTAAGGCTAAAACTATTATGAACATGATTTTTCTTATGGAAATGCTAACATAACACCAACATAATATCATTTATTATGAACTGGTAAAATTTAGAAAAATCCACAGATGTATTCATATGGCAGTTAAACTATCATACCAAACAAAGCAAAGGTAATAAAATTTTATAATAAAATTTGAATTTCAATGATACTTGATAAAAGGTACATAATGACAAAATATATTTACCTTTCCTCCAGTGGTACCAAGTCCATTGTTATTGAGCCTAAGTTCCTTTAGTGTATAACATGTTTTACTTTTGAGGAGATCTACGATACCGGTGACCCCATTTGGTCCAAATGCATTATCACTAAGGTCAAGTTCCACCAACTGTGCATTAGCTTCTATCATAGCAGCTCCTAAATATTTCTGTAAATAATGATTTGTTGTTTATAATGATATATTTCATATTTCATTTCATACACTAATTAAAGTATTTGGTATTGGCACAACTATATCAGTAAAGTATTTTTTATAAAGAAAAATAATGTGAACACATATTATGTTGTTTCCATACATTACTGATCATTAGAATAACTTAAAATCTCAAATGTTATCAATTTGTACATTTATCACATTCCAATAGCTTGTTCATTTTTTTAACAAGGATTATAAAATTAATAAAACAAAATGAGAAAAATTCTTTAAGTATATATAATTCTTACAGTTTTTCAACACATTGGATATTTTACATTTATCTTTGTCATATTGCCTATAATTTATTGTACAACGAGAAATACAAGTCTACTCTACATCCCTTCAAAAAGATTTTTTATGTTTTTTCTTTGACTCTAAATTCAGTCATTGCTAAGCATGTATGATCATTACGATTACTGTATATGAATGTACATCTCCACATTTGGAAACATTAAGTACATACCAAAGCTTGTGGTATTTCAGTCTTTAATCTACCAGTGAACATATCACTCCACAGTGCTCTCTGAAATAAATCATATCTTTATTTCATTATACACATTCAATAATATACTTACACTCAAATGTGAAAAGTTCTAATTAAATCTTGAATGACCCAAACAACATAAAAGCCAAAAAAAAAAGAAATGCTACTAACTTGCTTAACATTTTAGTTTCCTTAAATTAAAGATCTTTTATCTATCAAAATGTCCTGAAATATTTGTTCTGAAAATAAAATTACATTGTTTTTATCCTCACTTAAATTCCTTATTCAGGGGAATAAAATTACTAAACAACTGTTTTAATTATTATTCTTGATGTTACTATTCATCTATTAATATTGAGCTTGTAAAAATCTATGTGAGCATATTATAGAAAAGCAGTGGCAAAGTTCCATTCAATACAATTATAAACTCTATTTTTTAGGGGAAAGGGAATAGATTAATGTGGCCTAAAAATCAAGGTTGTACTTTTCCCATACCTCAAATTCTGGATGTTTTTTCAGAGCTTGAGCTATACTCTCTGCTGCTTCCACTCCTAGAGTGTTCCCCTCCATACTGAGAGCCGTCATTGTGGAATATTGTTCTATTGCTTCTACAACTTCCTTAGCTAAACGTAAGAATATCATAAAAATCAAATTAATATTTTAATACTTAGCTTGCCATAGTTTTGCAGCCTCATTTAAAGCATATCCTAACTATCCACTACCCTTCGCTATGTAACAAAGAGTAACTAACAGAACGAATAATGGTGATCTCGTTTTAATGAGATTACATAGTATCTGGGCCATTTCTAGCTAATAGCCTATTTTGAGAAAAGGCTAAGTATCATAGTCTCAGTTCTAATTCTACAGTAGTCATTTCAATTGCTTCAGTAAAAAAATACAGTCTAAGTCTTTATATTGTCTCTAGATAGTATTTGCTAATCTAGTAAAACTGTGTAAGACCATGATTGGCCATATTCATTTTTTTAAAGTCAAAGCACTGTGATGGTATTGAATTTTTAACAATGACGTCATAACATTCACTGCAATTTTAAATAATTTTAAATAAATGGTATGTTCAGAGAGCTGTCATAGAATAAATTTCTGATTGAGATAAGTAACTGAATTATGTTTTTGTTTTTAACTTTATTAACCAATTCAAACTAGCAACTGTATTGTCGAAAATTGGTCCACGAGTTAAAAACTAGGTGCAATGGTTTGATAGTAGGAAAAAACAATAAATTAAATGGGTAAAACCGTTCACTCCTATTAAGGCTAGGCGGCCAAGTGCTGAATTTTTCCACCTTTTTGGAACTATTAGGTAGTTAATGTTCATGATAAGTTTTTTATATGTTAATACTTGGCTTATCACCAGATTTTACATAGTTTTACATGTCAGATTTTTGGCAGCTGCATGATTATTGTCTCTCTTCATTGGTCATGCCATAGCCCGGAACAACCAATATTAAATCAGGCCATCCTTAAAAAAATGTTTGTGTGCAGTAACCCAAACCAGAATTTTCAAGGTGGGTAGGTAGTTCGATTTTTTTTTTATTGAACTGTACTCCCAAATAAACATGGAATTTCAAAATGCTTGAAAATATTATATGCTTTGATAATCTGGTAACAATTAATAAATTGATAACTGAATTCTAATTTAATAAGACCTACATTTTATTTCTTCTAGAACAAAAACAAAGCACAAGGCATAATTTTCTGATTAAAAAAAAAAATTTTATCCAGACCATGAAAAAAATTTTGAGTAGGGGCAAATTTTGTGAGTCGGTCGTGTTACTGCAAACAAACATTTTTTTAAGGATGGCCTCAGTTAAGTTGTTTTTAGCCAATAATAAATGGAAGGGGAAATTATGCTTTAAATTTATTTAGATATTTATGCATCTATCAACATTTATTCATTTTAAGGTTGGTACATTTTCAACATGTCTTGATCTTTCTTAGAAAAACAATAAAATCAATATGACCTACTAGGGCCACTCCCAGGAATATTTCAACCTAAATTCAAACAGCAAGGTAATCACCACTAAAGAATTTGTTCAAGATAAATCAGGGCTACTAAAAAATGTAGAAAATTTCACAACAGTCAATTGAACAATTTTCAACAGTTTCTTCAAGATTTTAAAAAACTTACACTTAATAATATAACATATGTACAGTTCAATGCATTGGTATGACTACTGTTAATGTGTATAAAATGGGCAGTTTAAGGTGTCACTTCTTAGTACGCTAATTGGGGTGCAAAATGATATTAAATGCATCCAATCATAAAAGCCATTTTACCCCACTTTATAATATTACCAAATATCGAAAATTGTCTAGATCTGCCAGATGGTATTGCTTTCAAAAGATTTATTTTATCATCACTTGGAAATACTTGATTACAATTTAAGATTTTACGTAAAGTCTGATGAATATCTAATGGTACATCATATAAATAAATGTTTCAAATACACCTAAGACTGGGGTAAATGATAAAACTCTTTAGCAAATACTTAATAATTAAAAAAAATTAACTTGCTCGGAAATTTTTTTATCATTTTTTTTAAATAAATGACTTTTTTGATATAGTTAAAGTTTGGCAATTTATAATGTGTCACTTAAAACAAACAATTTCTTATTGTTTTTCTGATAAGATCTGACAAATAATCAAGTATGGCATTCCTGCAAGTGTTGAAGCTAATACAACATGTTACTTTATGTACTTAAGTCAGACATGGCTTCAGCACCACAGAATTAAGAATGTGTTTGAATTTAGGTTGTGATTGAAAATTGGTTGCTTCAGGATAAAATATAATTTATAAAAGGGTATGCTAAAGAGCTTACGTTTAAATTTGACACTGAAGCCAAATAACTAGTGTTACTAATTTTAAGTAACTGACAGTTGACAATATCATAGAAAGGTTGGCTCATACTCATTTCCTGACACTAGAGTGTGTGCATGGGCTAGATTTCAGAGTGCAGCTAATTTTAACAATTTACACAATACTACAGCAGAGCAACAGATAAGCTTTAAAAGTGAATTGGGTATTACTCCATCATTTCCTTTGGAATTGGGTATTGGCTCCATTTAATTGGGTATTCCAAAACTCGATACCCTATGATTTCAAGATCAATTGGGTATTCAATTATGAAGATATGAATTTTATGGTTTCAATATCAATAAAATTAAAACTGTTTTATAAAGAAAATAGGATAAAACAATTTACTAGAACTTTTCAGCAATTTTTTTATTTTTTTATTTAAAATGCTCATGTTATATTTCATAATATTTTTAACATGTTTCGTTTTCTGACTGATTTTTTGATTATTTACGACTTGTTTGTTCAAAATCATTTTCCCTTTTGTACGACGCCATATTGCCTTCAAAGCGTTATTGATACAGCTGGGACCTACTTAATGACGGTTTCTCCGCAAAATCCAATGGTCTTCTGCCGGTCTGTTTAAGACCGTCGGGCCCCCACACTGTGTAGACAAATTTGACGGTCCTTCATGCTTAATTTTGATATGGCTTAGTCGGGACCGTCGAAGACCCGGAGACCGTTGATTAGTTAGCGCATTGATTCGGGAAATCATTAGGATAGCAGATGCCATATCGATATAATTTGGGTCCCAAAACACGAAAGGCGAACGACAGAGTGAAAAATTGACAATACGCAGCGGGTTTTTACAAGGACAATTTGCCCGTAATTTTATTTTTTTCAATGGGTTTTTGATTACGCATTTTTTATAAAAAACTCAATTTTGGCGTTATTTTAATAAAATTAAAATTGCGAAATACGCAAATACGCACCTTATCTGTTGCTCTGCTACAGGGAAGTCAAAGCCTGGGACCTCAGACTTCAAATCTTTGGCTTGCCTGGCTATTGACTACATGTTCATATTTAAAAAGAAATGAAATAAAAAAAAAATATAGATTTCTATACATATCAGTGAAGGTTTCAGTTTCATTTCTTGTTTGGTGTTCTAACACAATGATAAATGGCTGGGTATTCTGATAATGGAACATCACAACTTTTTGACTTACAGGGTAAAAAAAGCCATGAAATTTCTGAATGAAAAAAGGAAAATTGTTGTTGGGACTGGTCCTCGACACACTTTTGTGAGTCAAAATTAGGAAACAGGGCATCAGAAGCTAAAACTAAACCCAGAAGGCAGTTTTTGGGCCCCAAAAAAAAAAAAAAATAAAATAGTAAATACTGAATGACGCTTTTAAAATTGGAAAATTTAAAATCTATGAAAAAAATTTTTTTTTATCTGACATCTACATAGTACTGCTTCAAAATCATTTACAATTACACTGAGCTGGTATGCATTAAATTGAGAGACAACTACAAGATACAAGGGAATCTGGGAACCAGTCCCTGGGCCTAGCTCTTATTGACCACAAGTCCATTGTATAGCATAGTCCAATATATTAGACGGTAAAGGCTTGTTATAGTTTTTGTCGGTCAAGCCTGACGTCTAATAGTTATTGCTTAAAAACGCATAGCATCATAAAAAATTTAAAAAATGTCTATTGTCTTGCCTTTTCAAGGCTTTTATTCAAAAAGCTTAAACCTTCTTTTCTTTCAAAATTTATGTCCAGTCATACACAAAAACTCTCCCAAACAATGTAAATTATCAATTTAAAATAAAAAATATAACATCAAACCTATTTTGTCTATCAGCCATACTGGTTTTAAGCAAGGTGCTTTTACAGATTGATTTCCAAATTTTTTGAACGGAAAAATTATATTAACGTTTGCTTTTGCCCAGAAGCCCAAAAATATCTCAAAGCGGGACTCATATTTTTATAGGACTAGTTGTAATTAGCACTGATACAGGGGTTCTTCACTAGGGACTTTTTAAAACATGGAGTCCCATGGACTCCCCAAAACCTTTGAAAAAGTTGGAGTCAAAAGTTGCGTCATAGAAAAAAAAAAATTTAATTACATATGTTTACAGATTAGTCATTAGCACAAAGCATTGCTGATATTTTGAAATCTTTTCCCCCTCCAAAAAGACCTTAAAAAAGTTTATAGTTAATCAAAAAAACTCTGAAACGTACAATAGTATTTATTAAATTGTTTTTGTTGTTAATATTTTAATGAACTATTTCAAATTATAATGCGTCCCAAAGAACATGGAAATCTTCTTTTTTTTCTTTCACTTTTATTACCAAAAACAAATTTATTTTCCTGGTCAAATAAGTCCACTTCTTAAAGACCCAAAAAGTTTATTATTTTGTAAAAAAAAAAAAAAACGTGAATGTATATACAGGGGGGGGGAGGGGGGAGGGATGGTTCCAGTAGGCAGCGTTTTAGCAGAATGAATTAGGAAAATCGTGTACAGCTTCACACAGTGTGTTTAAGAGAAATTCATCCGATCGAACAATTATTTTTAAGCAAATATCCCCTTCAAAAAGGGGGCAAATTAAAGATTGATATTTTAAGATTTTAATGTTTGATTATAATAATAAAGGGAACAAATTTTCATTTTCACATGTTTTTGGCTTGGAAACCCGGAGAATTTTTGCGAAATTTTAAGGCGTTTCTGGCAAAACGTGAAATCGCCGATGTTTCGGGATCAAATTTTTTGGATAGAATCTAAATATTCAAGAAAATAAGCGTATGTGTTACAGGTACTTTGGTTTGGGTT